TTTTAAATTAGTTTAAGTGTAAAATTTTTATATTTAACACTTAGACTCATTTTTACAAAAACAATAATAATTTTAAGCAAAATTAAAAACAAATTTAACATTAAACTATAACAAAATAATACTTTTAACTAAAAACCTCACTAAATCATTTTAAAAATTAGTTTAAGTGTTAAATTTACATATTTAACACTTAAACTCATTTTTACAAAAAACAGTAATAATTTTAACCAAAATTTAAAAGAAAATTTAACATTAAACTTTAAGAAAATAATACTTTTAACTAAAAACCTCACTAAAACATTTTAAAAATTAGTTTAAGTGTTAAATATTAATTTAACACTTAGAATCATTTTTACAAAACAATAATAACAAAATTTTAAAACAAATTTAACATTAAACTTTAAGAAAATAATACTTTTAAATAAAAACCTCACTAAAACATCTTAAAAATTAGTTTATAAATTTAACACTTAGACTCATTTTACAAAACAATAATAATTTTAACCAAAATTTTAAACAAATTTAACATTAAACTTTAAATTTAAAAAAACAAATTTAACCAAAATTTAACCAAAAATTTTTAGACTCATTTAAAAAAAAAACAATAATAATTTTAAGCAAAATTAAAAACAAATTTAAAATTAAACTTTAACAAAATAATTCTTTTATCTAAAAACCTAACTAAAACATTTTAAAAATTAGTTTAAGTGTTAAATTTATATATTTAACACTTAGACTCATTTAAAAAGAAAACAATAATAATTTTAAGCAAAATTAAAAACAAATTTAACATTAAACTTTAACAAAATAATACTTTTAACAAAAAAACTCACTAAAACATTTTAAAAATTATTTTAAGTGTTAAATATACATATTTAACACTTAAAATAATTTTTACAAAAACAATAATAATTTTAACCAAAATTTAAAACAAGTTTAACATTAAACGTTAAGAAAATAATACTTTTAACTAAAATCCTCACTAAAATAATTTTTACAAAAACAATAATAATTTTAACCAAAATTTAAAACAAATGTAACATTAAACTTTAAGAAAATAATACTTTTAAATAAAAACCTCACTAAAATATTTTAAAAATTAGTTTAAGTGTTAAATATTTTTATTTAACACTTAGACTCATTTTTACTAAAACAATAATAATTTTAAGCAAAATTAAAAACAAATTTAACATTAAACTTTAACAAAATAATACTTTTAACTAAAAACCTCACTAAAACATTTTAAAAATTAGTTTAATTGAGGTTTTTAAAATGTTTAAAATGTTTTAGTGAGGTTTTTAGTAAGGTTTTTAAAATGTTTTAGTGAGGTTTTTAGTTAAAAGTATTATTTTCTTAAAGTTTAATGTTAAATTTGTTTTAAATTTTGGTTAAAATTATTATTGTTTTTGTAAAAATGAGTCTAAGTGTTAAATATATATCACGTGAAAACATATATACCGAACTTCGAACACCAAAGCTTACGGACCAACTAAGGACATGATGCCTAGGCGCGGTTAGTTTTCGACGTGTTTAAAATTTAACACTTGAACTAATTTTTAAAAAGTTTTAATGAAGTTTTTAGTTAAAATTGTTATTTTCTTAAAGTTTAATGTAAAATTTGTTTTAAATTTTGGTTAAAATTATTATTGTTTTGAAAAAAAAAAAAAATTTAAAAATCCGTAAGAATAAAAAAAAATAGAAAAATTAAAGTAAAAATATTTGAAAATCTGCTAATTATTTGAATTGAAAAAATAATGATGAGATAGAAATTGACCGACCTTATGGGCTGAAAATTGTTTTCGTTTTGTTGGGCTTTGTTGTGCAAAAGGGGTTTGATGATGTCATCCATCTAACGCCACCGCTCTGCATCGCAAATCTCCACCGGAAAACGCAAAAGCCACCTCTTCAATCTTCGTCTCTCTCTTTCTTCAATCCAATCCAAGCAGTGGAGGAAACGGAAGCAAAACCAATCCAATCAGACACGTTTCTTCGGTTCCTTTTGTTAGGCTTTGTCGTGCAAAAAGGCTTTGATGATGTCATCAATCCAACGCCACCTCTCTGCAACATGGCAAATCTCCACGGGAAACGCAAGAGCCACCTCTGAAATCTTCTTCTCTCTCTCTATCGCCACCTCCGTCGTCGATTGCTTGTCCTCGCCGGATAGAAGCTCCGACATCAATAGATTTGTCTCACGATGCTCTGTTCAGTAAGGAATAAACCGGAAGTGGAGGAAAACACCTTCCTAGGGTTTCACGAAGAGGAGGAAAACACCTTCCTAGGGTTTTCTTCGGTTCCATCTCTGCGGCAGTGGAGGAAAACACCTTCCTAGGGTTTCACGAAGAGGAGAAGATTCAAAAAAATTTAACTCGTGAGAGATTGTTGTAGCTTCACAACGGCTATATTGACCGTGGAATATGTTTTATACTCTCTCTGTGAACCGACGTGACCAACTATGTGGGCTTAATAATGAATCAGTCCAATTACTTTTATAATTAACAACTAATCAGAAACTACTTTCTTAAATGACATAATAATTAACACCCATCCATGTTCGTCTGCATGTTTCTTCCATCACAAGAAACTACTTTCTTCAACAGCATCACACATATTGGGTCAATGAGAATGTCCCCATAAGGCTGTCTTTGCTTCACCTTTATGACTCTGCGAGTTGCTAACACTGGCAATATAAACCATATTTGTATAGTCAGGTTTAAGATGATGCGTGCTCGGAATAGTTTAATTAATTGGTCACAGTAGTGAAACTGATTTTTAAGTGATGTAACTAGAAATCAATCACAATGGCCTTTGTCCTTTAATGCTTTGCATCCGAAACAGCCAATATTCCCATAAGATCATAACAAACAGAATTTAACGGTAGTTTAAGCCATGTAATTCCTCTTCCATCTCCATAGGCTTTGACCAGATAAGAAAACTTGTGCAAGTACACACAAGCTGGCTGCATCATCCATCAATTGCTTCAAATTCTCGCCTCCTAAAGCTGCAAATTTTCAAGGTCTGTCCATAACTATGCCTAAGAAAACTGAAACAGATATTGAAGACTTGAGTTTTTGAATACCTGGAACAATGTTGGATTGTTGGTGACACCTTCCAAGAATCCGGCCTGTTCCAACCATAAGACAAGTTCAGATAAAACACAAAATGGTTCCCCAAAGTGGACTTACCGGAATTCTGACATCAAGTTTCTCAAACCCATGATTTTGATCCTCAAAGATCGTGACCAGATCCGCGAAAAGGGGTTTCTTGGTTCATCATAAACCTCAGGTGTTATGACTTCAACAATCGGGTCCTCTCTCTGTTCTGGATCATCTTGTGCCACCCGTTGATTACCACAGACGCTACTGCTGCCCGCTTCTTGAAAAGGATGAAAACAGATTTCTTGATTTGATAATTCCCAAAGATGAGGAGGTAGCGTACCACTTCTCTTCCTCCAGGTATGTCTCAAAACCAAGAATCTCTTCGATTTCTTCAAAAGACGCCATGCTTCCTGGTGAAGGAATTCGACCACCCTTGATTGCCAATAGAGCGTCCTGCAAGTGTTCCACATAGTTCTTAAGTCTCTTTGCCACCACAGTGCGGTTACACATTATTGGCAGAAACAGAAAGATTGATTATGACCTGCATTGCTTGAATAGATACTCCAATCAATGAAATTGGATACGCCACTAGCTTATATGCAATCTCTTCTAGCTCAAGCGGGTTTAGTATCGGAACTTTCCCTCCACTTTCTAGCATATTAGCCTACACAAAGACCGCACAAATGTATCTTCACATCTCCAGGGTATATATCAAGATAGAGAAGAGTAGTTTCCGGCATAAAGTGAAGTTACCAATTTAGGAACTAGAGGATAGACATTGCAGAATGATCTCAATCTCTTCTCTAGAAACAAGAGAATCAACGGAGAGAACATCTGCTCCAGCATCTGTAAAAGCTCTTGCCCTAATGAGTGATTCCTCCAGAGATATCGCTTCTCGGGAATCAGTTTGATCTACAATGAAAATGTCGGAACCACACTCTCTACGCGCATCAACCGCAGCTTTAATATGCATCACTAGTTCCTCCCTAGAAGCCACTCTTATCTCACTCTTCGTATCTTCACAACAAACCTGATCATTGATGATGATTCCTGCAAAGCCAGCTTTGATATATCCTTTGACGGTTCTCTTAACATTCATAGCATTACCATACCCATTGCCACCGTCTCCGATCACCGGAATTGATACAGATTGAGTTATTTGTTGACCTTGATCAATTAAGTATAACGCGGAGTTGATCTAATAAGTAATAACCATTCGTAGTAGCATAATTAAGAAACCAACACAGAGTAATCCTCATCTTATCCTCTTGTATGTCATGAAACTCATAAGTCTCAAGTGAAGTTCGAGTTTGGTCAATATTGTGAAACACCAAACCTAATCCACTTACAAATTTTTTATTTTTAAAAATACAAATTTGTGTGGTAGTTAATTAGTTAATCAAATAACTTAAATAATAATTAAATATATATAAATACAAATTTTGTTTTGAGTTAGGTCCGCTTCAGCCTGCTTTAGCGATTTTAGCTTAATCGTATTAGCAAAAAACTCGAACAGTTAACTTCTTTAACCTGAAAAGTCTTATCATCAGTTCGTGTCTTTTTTCTTTGGGTTTTGTTTAGGAAACTGAACATGTCTTAAACTCTGCAGGAAGGGTTTTGTGGTGTTTGGGAGAATTAGGCAGTTGTTGGTGATCCGATTTTTCTGGGTTGGGTTTTTTTATTTAATTATATAAAAATGGCGGGTCAAGAGGACGAGCATGATCCAATTCTTGACGATAAAAAAGAAGCTGAAGCAAAATCTGAGGTTTGTGTTGGTGGTGGTGAGAGAGATATGGCTCCTTCTACTTCTGGAACTTCGATCCACAGATCAGGCTCTAGACCTCAGCTTGATCTGAGCAAAGCTGAAATTCAGGGGAATCTCGAGGAGAGAGATCCCACCATTTTGTTGCCTAATCAGTCTGATGATATCTCTCATTTGGCTCTTGATATCGGAGGTCACTCAATTCTTCACTTATTTCTTGTTTCACTGTAGTTGACCATTGATCTAATGATTGTTAGATGTGGTTTTGGTATTTGGTGTCTGGAAAGTTGGATGCTTTTTCTTTAAGTGCTGTGTTTGAGAATTTATAAACCCATTTTAAGTTTATTTGCAGGTTCTTTGATAAAGTTGTTGTATTTTTCACGACATGAGGACTACTCCAATGATGGTGATAAGCGGAAGAGGACGATCAAGGAGAGATTGGGTATTACCAATGGCAACTTGAGAAGCTATCCTGTTCTTGGTGGCAGACTTCATTTTGTCAAGTTTGAGACTCACAAAATTAATGAGTGCTTGGATTTTATTCATTCCAAGCAGCTTCATCGCCGAGGTATTATTACTCTTCTCTTGTTCAATGTTGAGTGATATGACTTTGTTGTGTATTCACTGTTATAAGATCAATTTCTGGTGATTGAACTGTTGAATTCGTCTTCTTCTCCATTTCTTTTCAACTAATTCTCATTTTTAAATCAATTAATAGATCCTTATCCTTGGAGTTCAAAAACCTTGCCTTTGGGGACTGGTGTTATCAAGGTAATAACATTTTGATGACCTGTTTTTTTTTTTTAATCTTTTGAGGTTCCTTCTGGACATATTTAGCTCGCAATGTCATTTGAGATACCAGATAACATTCAAAATGCTCATAAGTATTGTTTTTAGGTGAAACGTTTATCTGTTCATATCTATGTAATGTGATTTACTGATTTGGCTTTGATTAGTTGATTATTGCTTGTTTAAACATATGGGTCTGGCGTACGTATATCTTACAGGTCACAGGTGGCGGGGCCTATAAATTTGCAGACTTGTTCAAGGAACGGCTGGGCGTTAGTATTGAGAAAGAAGATGAAATGCATTGCCTTGTTTCTGGAGCAAATTTTTTGCTCAAAGTAAGACGTTTCTTTGTGCAACATTCCTTTTATGTTGTGACTGCATATGTAGTTGTGCCTTTATTACTAGCACTTTGCAAATTAAAAACGTAAAGACAGACTCTCATTATATGTGACCGGTTGATTTGTTTGTTGAAGTCTGAGTCACATGAGAAAAACACCTGGAAATATGTCTGTGTGTTTTCCTTTACATATACTTCTGCTAAGACTATTGAAATTTTGCAATTAGTTTACTTTTGTTTTGTCGATTTGCATGTGTACGTTTGGAATTTATTCTTAGTTTCATGCTTTTGTCTGTAGGCTATTCGACATGAAGCCTTCACGCACATGGAGGGTGAGAAAGAATTTGTACAGATAGATCCCAATGACTTGTATCCCTATCTTCTTGTGAACGTTGGATCTGGTGTTAGCATAATCAAGGTATTTGTTTACTTTTGCTACTTTTTTCACAAACTGTGTGTGTTTGGCTCCTTGAACTTCTGACTTGGGAGGTCCATGGACCTGTAGATTTCATGCAATGGCTTTTCAAAGTATAGGTTGATGGTGAAGGAAAGTTTGAACGTGTGAGTGGGACTAATGTTGGCGGTGGTACCTATTGGGGCTTAGGAAGACTTCTAACAAAGTGCAAGAGGTTACTATCATACAATGGATCTGATTTTTCACTACTTCTTTACATCCTTGTTTCCTATACTTATGATGTTTTCTTCTGTTTTAGTTTTGATGAATTGCTAGAACTCAGCCAAAAGGGAGATAATAGTGCCATTGACATGCTCGTTGGTGATATTTATGGTGGCATGGATTATTCCAAGGTATGAGTCTACTTTGCATCAGACTACATCTGATATCATTCGTTGTAGCATGTGACTGCCTTCCATTTAAAACTCAGAATGCTTTTTACTACGTTCTAGTAATTCTCAGTTATCAATTATACAGATTGGTCTGTCTGCTTCAACAATAGCTTCTAGTTTTGGCAAGGCCATATCTGAAAATAAGGAACTGGATGATTACAGACCTGAAGATATTTCCTTGTCTCTGTTGCGGATGATTTCGTACAATATTGGGCAGGTATGAATTTGTGAGTCCAAAGGTTTCAAGGAAGAGTTCTTAAGCAAAATAAGCCCAAATCTTTCTCATTTTTATTCCTAATCACATGATGCCATTTGGAATATTTGATCAGTGAATGGGATAAGTGATTGAGAATGTTTTGAGTTTCTGATTTGTTTGTTGCTGTGTAGATATCATACTTGAATGCCCTTCGCTTTGGGTTGAAGCGAATATTTTTTGGAGGATTTTTCATAAGGGGTCACGCATATACCATGGACACAATTTCCTTTGCTGTACATTTCTGGTAACTTCACTTGATAACCTGGAGCTAGTTGTGATATGCGTACTCAACCTTCTTTACTCAAATTATTTATGTATTGCTTGACCACACTAGGTCGAAAGGAGAGATGCAAGCTATGTTCTTGAGGCATGAAGGTTTTCTGGGTGCTCTTGGTGCCTTCATGAGCTATGAGAAGCACGGATTGGATGATTTAATGTCCCATCAGTTGGTTGAGAGGTTCCCAATGGGTGCACCATATACTGGAGGAAATATTCACGGACCACCGCTCGGTGATTTGAACGAGAAGGTAATAAACTTAGCTTACATTTTACCAAAGTCACAGATTGTTCTATTTAATACTTTGAAACTGACAGCCAAAGATTCCGTAATGATATGGTACTTCTCAAATATATTAAAGTGCGGGAATATGATACCATTTATGCCGTGTGCTGGGTAAAGTGTGTGCTGCATACCATTATAGTATTCTTTAGGCAGTTGCATTGTAGAATATGCTGTTCTTGAAACTGGAATCTTTTGGAAAATGTTTGATCTTCCATGGACTTGCCGAATATTGTGGCCGAAAGAGATGGTCGGATACTTTGAGACTGTTGAAGTGCACTATTACTTGTTCCTTGTTCCTTTCCATGGTTTGTGTGCTGACTGATTTTGATTGGATACTCGATCATTAATCTTGAAGATTAGTCATAGTTTATGCTTGTATGGATATTATTCGCTGTGAAGTTTACTGGTTCTTTCTTTTTTTATACAAAGTATCATTTCATGTGACATAAAAGAATAATAGAAAGCAAGAGTAAGAAAAACCTTGTTTTCAAATCTGTCACAGTTATATTCTCTTTTTATTTTATGTATATATCAAATACGAGATGGAATCAAGTGCTTTTTCCCTATTTCAACTTTTCTTGTGCTAATGGTAAAGAGATATTGTGTGTCTTGACTCTGTTCTGGATAAGTTTTGGAGTTTAAAAAGGATTTCCTGGTTGCTTTCAGATTTCGTGGATGGAGAAGTTTGTGCGTAGAGGAACTGAAATAACTGCTCCTGTACCGATGACTCCATCAAAAACGACTGGGCTTGGAGGGTTTGAAGTTCCCTCATCCAGAGGTAGTGCTCTAAGATCTGACGCCAGTGCTTTAAATGTTGGTGTTCTCCATTTTGTGCCCACACTGGAGGTGTTTCCATTACTGGCTGATCCAAAGACGTAAGTGGCATGTCCCTGAGTAATGTATTGAGCTTGTACATATATCTCCTGGTTTGCCGCTTGTTCATGATTTTGGAGATTTTATGTTCGTGTGTTTAATTGATTTGTTTTACCCCAGGTATGAGCCTAACACGATTGATCTATCAGATCAAGGCGAACGAGAGTGAGTGATAAGTCGATGCTGATCTTCCAAAGCAGTGGTTTTATTTGATGGAATCATTTTTTCTTAAATTGTTTACTTTGTTTTGGTTTATAGGTACTGGCTCAAAGTTTTGTCCGAGCATTTGCCAGACCTCGTTGATACGGTAACTGTTAAAGTTAACACATAGGATTTCTATTCCACCTTCAGTTATGTTTCTTTTTGGTGGTGTAGATTCTTTATGGCCTGGTACTTACTATTATTCTGTGGAAATGATTATAGGCTGTGGCAAGTGAAGGAGGAACTGAGGATGCGAAAAGGCGGGGTGATGCTTTTGCTCGTGCCTTTTCTGCTCATTTGGCAAGGTTTGGTTCATTACAACAGATTCCTCTCTGTCCAGTCAAGCCTGTGCAATTTTGACCACAATCTATCAAGCAGAAAATTCATAGCGCTTCAAAAAAGCTTGTTTTGTGTGTGCTTTTGCCTTTCACTGACATATTTTTTTTGTTGTAGATTAATGGAGGAGCCAGCTGCATATGGAAAGCTAGGGCTAGCAAATCTTTTGGAACTTAGGGAAGAATGCTTAAGGGAATTCCAGTTTGTTGATGCCTATAGAAGCATCAAGCAAAGGTAAAACATATTCTTATCTCTCTCCTACTTTGAGTTTCTCTTATGCCCTCTCTTTCTTTAAAATTGATAGGGAGAACGAGGCATCACTTGCTGTTTTACCTGATTTACTTGAAGAGCTTGATTCGATGAGCGAGGTCTGTGATCTTTAACCTTCTTCTCTCTGTAGGTTTTGGGTTTGCTACTTAACGTTTTAGTGCTATACATGAGACAACTTTTCTCACTTGTTGTTTTGAATTGTGCTCGGATTTTTCAGGAGGCAAGGTTGCTTACACTTATAGAAGGTGTTCTTGCAGCTAACATATTCGACTGGGGATCTCGAGCATGTGTGGATCTATATCACAAAGGAACCATTATTGAAATATACAGAATGAGCCGCAACAAGATGCAGAGACCGTGGAGGGTGAGAGACAAGACCACATTTTTTCCGCTGAGGTTACTGTTTGTTAACTTTTAATTTGAAGCTGGAAATCTTTTTTGATCCGTAAAATCAGGTAGATGATTTTGATGCTTTTAAAGAAAGAATGCTTGGATCTGGAGGTAAGCAGCCTCATCGACATAAAAGAGCATTACTTTTTGTTGATAACTCGGGCGCAGACGTCATTCTTGGGATGCTTCCTCTTGCCCGAGAGTTTCTCCGCCGTGGGACTGAAGTATGTATTTTCTCTCTAGCTCTTCCTATAGTAACCTACTCTTCACAAAATCGAATGTACAGGCCAAATGGTTTCATTGTGAAACTAGTTGAGGAAACACTAAACAGAATTTTATTATGATTCTCCAGGTTGTTCTAGTGGCGAACTCTCTTCCTGCTCTTAACGACGTGACCGCTATGGAACTCCCTGATATAGTCGCTGGGGCTGCTAAGGTTTTACCGGTTTAACTTTCGATATTATGCAGTGGTTATAATGTTCTTTCATGTAACTAACTCTTTTGTTCGGTCTTTACTCTTGAAGCACTGTGACATCTTGAGGAGAGCGGCAGAAATGGGAGGCTTACTTGTGGATGCGATGGTAAATCCGGGGGATGGATCAAAGAAGGATTCAACGTCAGCACCATTGATGGTTGTTGAAAATGGATGTGGAAGTCCTTGCATTGACCTCAGACAAGTCAGCTCTGAGCTTGCAGCCGCTGCCAAAGACGCTGATCTTGTATCTACAAAACCTTCTCTGTTTTTACCTGACATAAACTCCAAACACACAAAAATAGAGAAGCTTTGTTCATTATTTGATGTTTAATGATATTGCAGGTTGTCTTGGAAGGTATGGGTAGAGCACTTCACACCAACTTCAACGCTCAATTCCAATGCGAGGCTCTCAAGGTTTTAAACTCACTTGACAGAGAATTCCAAATCTAGAAATGTTACTGAAACTTTTGACTGAAACCTTTCTCTTCCTTTTTGGCAGCTAGCAATGGTGAAAAATCAGAGATTGGCTGAGAAGTTGATAAAAGGAAACATTTATGATTGTGTATGCAGATACGAGCCTCCCTCTCTTTAACAATGTAATGTTAAGTTTCTTCAACCTTTAGACTACTTTGCCTCAATAGCTTATTGGCTCACTGTTGTATACAGATTAAGCATTCGGCATATGTATTTTTTTTATTTAGACTAAACTTTTACTGTATAAAATTGTATTTGAATAAATCAAAATCGCTTGCTAAAGAGCATCATCAGGGTTCATTATACATTTCAAGGAACAAAAACGTATTAGTCTGAAATTTTCGCTAGCAATTTCTCAACCATGATTCTCTGCTGAGTCACACTTAGAGATTCCGAGTTCATCATAGCATTGGCCACGATAATGACTGTACGTGGAGCAGCAGAATTTACCCAAACTCTGCCATTTAAGCCCACAGCTATCTCGAATGAGAGTTTCTTTCCAAGAGCTTCGATGACCGGGCACGTTGGTGAACTCAACAGCCTACAAGAGATGAGAAAGTTAAATTTTTAAGTCAAAAGAAGATAGATAAAGTATAAGAGAGACAGTTTTATGAGGAAAGAGTGTGCTGGAATGAGAAAGTGAAGTATTCCTTGGGTATGTCTCACATTCTTGAAAGACCAGTTGAAGTTTCCAACATGAAACCATCTCTTAAGGGTCCAAATAATGCAGCTTTCCCACTTGCTAATACATAGAAACAAGAGACGATTAGTTTAAAGAGCATTTAGAGTACGCAAGGAAAAGCACCATTGTTTAGCCTCCAAAGCTTTTGACTTACCGTCGGTACAAGACAGCTCCGGATTCATTCCTGTGTTTGTCTTGACAACCCGAAGATAAAGCAGAGTGCCTACCTGTTTAGTACACATTGAACATTCCGGAAAACAAGCAAATTATAGAGAATGTCATATTCCAAATGAGAATATAAGAGGGCTTCCTGATTCATCAGAATATTAAGAGAACTTGCCTCAAACTTGGGAATATTTCTTTGTGTTCCTCCTTCGAATGCAAGAACTGGCAAAAGCGCTAATTGAGGTCCTTTTATGTCCACCCAAAAATTCTGCAATGACATGATGAGTAAAAGAAACAATTCAATACTAACTACTTAACTAGAGTGATTTTCGTTCACGCGCCAAGCAAGCTTAAACTGCAGCTGAGAATTTAAAAGTCAGTTTTTGTTTGTCCAATAATGGTATCAGTTTTCTTCTGATTTTAGACCCTAACTTCAATACTCCCACCTATTTTATTTACTGATCCAAGACCATCAACAAACAAGTTCCAACTTTTTTGGCGCAGAGGCATGAGGATTGAAGTCACAGAAACTGCTTTCAGAGATGACCAATCTAAGAGGGATCCAAACAAAAATCTATACAAGGAAATGAGCAATGATGTCAAAGGACTTACATCTGTCTTAGAATCTACCACAATTCCAAGAACATGATCCTCAGGGCGGGGTATGTACTGCCAAAAACCATAATAACAGAGTCAACAACAAAGAGAATGAGACTTACATAGATAATCAACAAAATAGAAACGTACTAGAGTTTTCGAAACTAAAATGGCAGATGAATGGTAGCTTGGCTTATCAAGCCAGATGTATATGATCAAATAACTAGAGGAAAAACTAGCAAGAATTCTCCATAAAAGCATTAACTCGTCAAAATGCTACAAAAGACAAATCTTCATGATGCAATTGTGCCAGGTTATTTGTTAGTTTTCCACTCATTGATTAACCAATTGAGCCTTGTATCTGAGCAGATGACACAGAGTAATAATCCACAAGAAGCTACCAGAAAGGAAAAAAAAGATTAGTAAGACCACTGAGCTCACCCGTTTGTGAGAACTTTCGACCCAATACTTATTAGGCTTGCAAAAACTTAATTTGCCAGCTCTCATGGCGGAGATAACATCATTATCCTGAAATAAGCCACAACAAACAAACACAAGTCAATCTCCAATTCCTTTGAGTTGCAATCGTATATCACAAATCAAGTGCCTACTAGAATAATTGTTATGATTCAAACAACACACAAAAAAAGAGAAAGAAGATGTAACCTGATGAAGGCCACTGCCGAGCTTGATTGTCTGGTTAGTCATGTTTGATAAATCAAGAACAACATCACCTGGAACCTGAAAATTGATAAACCCATGTTTCATTGTAACCAAATCGAACCAAAATCATTATAAAAAAGCCAACTTTTAAAGAGAAATACGGACCACAATCTGATCTATGAGGCTTGTGGGAGAGACAGAAACTTTAGCAGCCATGAGTGAGGTGGGTTTTGGAGATAAGAACCCTAATTTATGTAAACCTCTGTAAAAGCTTGTTCCTTGACGACGATGAGAACCCCCGAAAGGAATTAATTTACTGCACAGTCTCTTCTTTTATTTGCACGCAAATTTTTGAACCAAAACTATACCGAACCAATCAATATTAGGATTTCGGTTTACGTTAACCGGAAAACTAAATAAAATCTGAGAAACCAAATTAGATTACCAAACCAAAATGATTTTTTTATTAGTACATGAATAAGTTCAAGCAGAACATCTCTTAGTAACTGTGATTTTAAGACCATGTTTCATTGACAATATAAAGCCAAGAGCTGGCACAATCTTCTGCCCTTGGAGAACCTTGATGTCGTAGTTTCGTAATATCACCACTGCCATTATCTTCATTTGAGTCATAGCTAAATGTTTACCTAGACAAGTTCTTGGACCGGCATTAAATGCTAAAAACTTATAGGATGGCTCATGTTTTATGCCTCCATTCTCCGAAATCCATCTCTCTGGCTTGAATTGCGTTGCGTCTTCTCCCCAAACCGCTCGCATCCTCCCCAATGCATAAAGACAGATAATAATCTTAGAGTTTGCATCGACTTTATGCCCACTTGGAAGCACATCTGATTTGATTGGAGACTTGCGCCCGAAGGAAACTGGTGGGTAGAGTCTCATTGCTTCACACAACGCACCGTGTAAATACACCAACTTGTCCACATTCTCTTGGCTATTTCCGGTTCTTGATAGATCCGTGTTGTTGTTGATCTCTTGACGAATCTTGGCTACCACTTGTGGATTTTCAGAGAGAAGCCAGAAGAACCAAGAGAGAGCGGTGGCTGTTGTGTCTCTTCCCGCGAGAATGAAAGCTAAGATATTGTCTCTAAGGAACTTATCGTCACTTGGATTCAAGAGCTTGTACTTGGTTGTATCTAGCTTTATGATGGAAGTTAAAAGATCCTCACTTTCTCCATTGGAAACCCCTTGTGATCTTTTAATCTCTTCTCTCTTGGCTGATATGTATTTGGCACACACGCGGTCAAAAGTTGCATTAGCTTCAATCAGCTTCTTCTCTTGTCCGAATCCCATCCAGTTTTGCAGCTTCCACAAGAATCTTGGTTTAACATGCCTATAAAGAATCGCTTCTCCAACATCGTCGAGAGCTTTAGCAAATTCATCCCCAGGCATTTCAATGGAGAGAGATCTAGGATCAGAACCAGTTACAAGGATGCAGATTGTATCGAAAGTGAACCTCCCGAACACGCCTTGCAAGTCAAGAGTTGTTCCTTCCTCTGCAAAATGATTAAGAAGGGGAACAAGCCCGTCCTTGAGTTTACTTGTCATGGTACTCATTGAAAACCTTTGAAACTCTTGAGTATGGAGCATGGCTTGATAAGACTTCCTCATATTCTTCCATAGCTCCGAGTCCGTGGTGATGAAACTGTCTCCTAACACATCAAAAACATCTTGGAACTCCGGTCCTTTGATGTAATTTGAGAAACTTGAGCTCATTATATGATGAATGTTAGCTGGATCAACTGTGATCAACATATCGATTCCAGCAAACCGCGGTCCTTTGAATGGAAACGTCAAGTCAGAGGTTTCGAGAATCTTAACGCTGTAGTCATAGATCCGGTGGAGCGCTTTAAGCAGAGCGGGGAGCATCCGGAGAACCGGCCAGTTCCTACGGAACCGGCCATGAGGTTTCTTGAAGAGAAAGTAATGGAGGATGAAAAAGCAAAGGATGGCTACGGAAACTTGAAGTAAGCTTATTGAAGCCATTGGAGTAAGGCAAGTGATATCACACACTTTGCTGGCACAATGAGAGAGCTGGATTTATAAGCAGTTACTTCAGGGCACAAGTAAGGACATGTTTTTTAAATACACTAAATTCCGTTATATGCACAAAGTAAAAGGCACGATTAATGCATGTATCATCAAATTAGAAACTAGTATTAAATTGCCATTGACACCTAACTTTTTTATTTTTGTGATAATACACCTAACTTGATCAATAATTTGAGAACTGTTATTATTGCCCCTTTGTAACTTTATCAACTAATTAAGCTTATTGAAGCCATTAGAGAATGAGCTGGATTCACGCACAGACTTCTGAGATGTCCTCTATGAGCGCTGAAGGAAATTCATTAACTTCTTTATCTCTGTCCAAAAATGATAAAAGGTTTCATTTTTGCTTCTATACTTTCGCTGAAACCTGTAAGAAGTTCAAGAAAGTGGTGAGAAAGAACCATGCTATATACTTGAGGACAATGATGATCCATTGACACATATTTTTTTATATCCTAAACACTTGCTGTTCTAACTTGGTTTGCAAGAACTGAGTTCAGAACACAAGAAAGACTAAATATATGCAACAGAGGATAGATAATGCAATACAATTATACAACAAACATACTCAATACACATCTTTTTTGCCTTATGTACTCTCAAAAGGGGTGGTGTCACATGTGTCACATGTGTCTATATATATATATATCGATTACACATCACTTAGCTTCGACTAATTTGCTTCTCCAAGAGACCAACCGTTTCGTAATATAAAGCGACCAGTCCTTTGATAAAAAGACAAAAAAAAATGGCAGTCTATTGTCAGGTCAAAGCGATTATTATTATACCTATCTCTTCAATATTTCTGTTGATGCTTCCTCTTTCTCATCACTATTTTCCTCATTCACATCTTCGGTGGTCTTTACGTCATTTTGGAGAGCACGAAGCATTGCAGAGTTCACCTGTTTTCTCAATTTCGCATTCTCAACAAAGATGTTTGCTAGTATCTTCCTCAGCTCGTCCTCCATAATTCTTGTTTCAGTATCCATGCTGAGAGATTTATCGATGTCTTGAGCAGCAGCATTTTCATCAAACCCAGAAAGTAGATGAGCCTAAAAATGGTTTAAATCGTTAAAACTTGTAAAATGCACATCGTAGAAGTGTTTTAGTGAACCGAAAACCTAACTATCCTACTTTAACAAATAACTTCATCCTGATGCACATATCAAGACGCAGTGAAAAGTAACTCTTATTAGAGGAAACCTTGGATGTACTAAGTTGGGAAACTTTGTGATTTTATATGGAGATAAAGCAGAGATGCAGCAATACCTCCTCAATTTGATCATCAGATATTGACAGTAAACGCAAAGCGTCTGATACTGTAGTTGAGTCGTCGACGAAGTTACCGTTTCCATCAATTGACAAATTCAAGTTGTACTCTTTAAGCCGGTCGTGGAGAATTCTGCAGTCACTAAGCAGCTTCTTTCTAGCCGCAACTGTGTTCTCTAGTAGTTTTCTTTCCTCTTGGAGGAGTTTCTGAAAGTGCAACATGTTCCACTCTCAGTTGTGTTGTCTCTTACATGCGTAATAAAAATTCAAAAACCCATGGTGCTCCCAAATAAGAACATATATATAATACTACAAGCAGAAATTACCTCGGCTTTAGTTTTATCTGTCAAAGATTGAGTTAGCTCTTTTTCTAGTTCCACATGCGAACGCCTCAGAGATTTGACCTCTTTGACAAGAACTTTAATATCTGCTTTTGATTTTGCCTCTGATTCTTCATATCGCCTGGAGAGGTCCTCTAGTTGTTGTTTTCTGGCATCCAACTCTTTCGACAAAACATGTTTCTCAGAAATAGTTGACTGTACAGTGGGTTCTGCATGTGAGCTCCCATCCTATTTTAATAATTTGCATCAGCGTGCTTCTCTAGAAGAGGGAAATTATGTACGTTCTATGCGAAGCAGTTTGGTTGCAAAACTAATTTTAAGACATGGAACTATTTCAAATCATACCTCTCTCGATTTTAACTTCATTTCCATCTCATAAGATTTTTGCCTAAGTTCTTCCATATCCCACTGCATCTGATTAAATCTTTCCCTCTCGCTCATAATAGCTTGCTCCAAGTTCTCTTTGCTTCTCTGCTTAGTAGTTTCAAGTTCCCCTTCTAGATCATTAACCTGAGCAGTAAAACCAACATTACAACACTACCATTAGCTCCAAAGAAAAAAGGATTAAGATATGGATGTTTAGAACCAAAAATGAGAAAAAGAAAAAAAAACGGAATTCATGATTACTTTTTTTATTGTACCTTTTTGTTCAGGTAATCTTTCACAGCTATCTCTTGATTTAGTCTTGCTATAAGATCCTCCATATCTGTTTTTGCATTGACAAGTCTTTCATTTGTGGCTAACAGAATCCTGTTCAATTTATTACGCAGCTCCAGTGGAAGAACTATTTGTGCACTACCCTGCCTCTCCGGGTTATAAACAAGCCCAGTTCCAAGAGATACACCAGGACCTCGGCGTAGATCCAGGTGGCTATCACTGCTTGAACTTAGGAGGCCAGATGTTAATGTCTCACCAGTGTGTAGAGAAAATCCTTCAGCACTCTCAGCAGAAAGCTTTCTATCATGCATTACTGAGTGAGTTGATGATTCTGGTTCAGAAAGAAGTCGTGCACCGTTGTTAGCAAGAAATACGCCTTTCAAAGCATTCCCATTATACACATCCTTCCCTAGGATATTATTGACATATCTTGAGCGGACTTTATGTTTGGGAAAGTCTTCAAGTTGCTCTAAAATCGTTTCGCTCATTGAAAGCCCCTCGTCAATGTTGGACATGCTAAAGTTAACGAGCTTCTCTATTGGATTTGTTAAATCTTCATCCAGAGTTAGATCTTCCGTACCAATTTCAGAAATATCATCCTGTCCTAAACTTGGTGATCCAACCTCAGATGTTTCATAAGCAGTATCACTGCCATAGTCAGATGTGAGAGAACTGCCACCAGCATGAAACAAGCTCAAACTTGGGTGAACCATAGGCGACGAACTTGTGCTACTTCTATCATTATTGGTATCAGAAGCATTCTGATCTACATCTTGGCATGCTGAAAAGCAATATCATGTTAGACTCTAATCACACATTACAGCATTGACCAATGCACGGCTTACGTGTATACTGTAATAGCTCATACCAGACCTAGCAGCAGCTTCTAGTTCAAGAAAGGATGCAACTACGACACTTCTTGCTAATTCAATATCAGATAATAGCTTTGTTATCCACTCCTCAAGAGAGCACCTTCTCTGCAACAAGATCAAAGCTATCACTTGTGAAACAAATAGTTTGCACGAATAATTGTAACATTATTGTTGGGACATGGCTTTCCGTATATTAATACACCTGTAGTCTACCACTAATCTGCATCATTCGCACTTAATCTTGGTTGGGCAAGATTTGGAGGGAGGTAAGAAATAGCACTAAATAGAAAAGATATTGAGAGTAACAGCAGTTACACAAGTGACCTCATCCAGTTAGCCTCAGGAAAAAATGCATACCTCTTCTAACACTGCTCTGCTTTTCATACGCAACAGCCCTTTGGGGGGAGCTGATGGAAAACTTTTTCTAGGAAATGTTCTTTTAAGCTGTAAGGAAAACATGGATGTGCATATGCCGTCAACCACATTGCATTTAAATCATTAAGAAAAAATGGAGAGTTGGATCGGCCTTTATTCAGGAAGAACAAATTCTTACATCAGTTAATAGCTTTAAGAAATCATTAAATCTTCTCAACACTCCTCGCATTGTGGTAACACCTTCAGGGGATTGCACACTTACCTGAACCCTGTAAAACTGTTCCTCTAAAACATTATATATGTAAGCAAGTTAAACTATATATTGGAATGATGTATGACATACACAACAATAGAACTATTCAGCTGCAAAAAAAAAAAAAAAAAGGCACACTTCGCTAGATAATTTAGGTAGTCCAGGAGAAAAAATATATCAGTGTTCATGTTGAAGTTTATTGATCCACAGACGTCCAAGATATGGTCCGACGTAAACAGTTCAGCTAAATTTGCTACACGACAATAAACACTGGAAGTTATGCCCTTGCAAGAGATAAACACTGAAGAATAAAAAAATATATACCACTACAGGATCTGAATTTCTTGATTTTGGAAGGACAATCCACGAGGGTATTGTAACGCAATAACTCCAACCAGTTCGAGGGTCATGAGGCCAAACAGTATCTCTACCATTCTGCACGAAAAGAAGATAAAAATCTCAATGCCTTAAACTCTCCAACTTGTACATATATGGAATGCAATTGAGTAGAATGATACTTCCTAGTCTGCAGCTATCCCAAAGCGCATAAACAAAGATTTAGCTACCCATGATGTTAGTAACAATTCAATAGAGAGCAAAACCAGAATTCACCAATTGTACGAAATAGCTTCGACTAACCGTTAGGAATCTAATGCCTTATGTAGTGAGTTCTAACATTGGACTTGCTGGTAATTACAAAGACATCCACATTTATCTCACGTCCCAAAAGAATAAAGCAGGACAAGTGAAGAATTCGAGCACGGCACTCCAAAGATAAACGTAATTAAGTTTGAATTTTGGGAAAATAAGAACTCACCCATTTGCGCGGTGGAGGACTCCAATCCATTCCCAATGGAAGCGGCGATGTTCCGTCATGCCTGTGCTTGGGCGGACTCCGTCTCTGCATCATCTCCACCAAACTCTACCTATCTTTCTCTCCCCAGCTCTCTGGAATCTGAATCTGATATTCCGATCAGAATCAGTAGGAGACGCGATCGAGCAATAATTTCCCGATTGAGAAACCACAAATTAAGAAATCTGAGCAAAAAGTAAGCAAAGCGTAGGGTGTATGAAGATCTTCGTGAGAAGACACAGATGGAGGCAAAAGAAGGACCAGATGGCGTCTCTCTGGGTCTTCTCTTCCTCTGGGTTGAATTCCCACAGACCACGGCGATTAACGGCGGTGTTGTGACGTCTACTTTAACGGAAAAGCCGAGAGGAGACAACACGTGAATTGACGGAGGCGCGAAGCTTACCGTGTATATATGTGTATATATGTCCCACCTTCTTCCCGTGAGATTCGGTTTTAATCATGAACCACGTTTTGGTTTAGTAGAGTTGGGAATTGGGATTTTTTTTTTTTTTTTTTTTTTTTTCTATTTTACATTTTGTAAGGCTATGTTTTGGTTTAGCTCATTGTCATTGTCCATTAACTTTGCTTTTAAAAAAAAAAAAAAATCTTTTTTGGCTTATATTCATTCATTGTTTATGCAAAACCGAAACCCAATTTAGACCAAAATATTACCAAACCAAAAGAAAATGGACCGCTCTTTGGTTTGTTTGGTAGCATACATATTTCACTAAACCAAAAAAAAAACTGATTTTTACAAAACTTAAAATATCTTGTCAAAACTGAAATTATCCAATACTTAATTTATTTGATGATTTGAAAACATACATTTTATCCTTCACATTTTAACTTTGATTTTTTGCTCAGATTTATGTTACAGCGAAATATGATTGAAACTGAAATCAATTGTTTTCTTTTTTATTTATAATAATTTAACTATCAAACCATATTGGTTTAATTTTAAAAATTTTAATATTTTTTTAAGATGGTTAATATTTTTGATACTGAAACAAACTGTTTTCTTTTCATATTTACTTATAAATCAGTTTGGTAATATTTTTAAAACAATTTCATTTTGATCCTTATAATAATTTTTTTTTGATCCTTATAATAATAGAAAAAAAATCAACGTAGCTATCCGAAATTAAATATTTTAATCTGCCGGAGGCGAAAAGGTCTCTAGCTCCAGCTAAACTCCAAGAGGAGAGAGAGAGAGATTCAATTATATGCAGAAGAAAGAGCTAATTGGTTCTCTCTCTCTCTTTGTCTCTGATTGATTGATCCAGCGATTCGTCTGGCTGGCTCGGTTTCCGCGGGAAAAGCTTCTACGTTGACCTTACGAGTTTTGTTGATTCGGCAAGGGGACGACGACGGAGATGGCGATTCTGTACGCACTCGTGGCTCGTGGCACGGTTGTTCTTTCTGAGTTCACCGCCACGTCTACGAATGCGAGCACCATCGCCAAACAGATCCTCGAGAAGGTCCCTGGAAACGACGACAGCAACGTCTCCTACTCTCAGGATCGTTACGTCTTCCACGTTAAACGCACCGATGGCCTCACCGTTCTCTGTATGGCCGAAGAAACCGCCGGAAGTACGTCTTATATCTCCCCTTCTTTTACTTTTGCCCTTCTATGTTTTCGATTTGTTCTGAAACTACTATTCTCCTGAATCTTGTTGAGCTGGTTTTTATGAGTGGAATTCAAAAGTCTAATCCTTTTTTGCTCTGAATGTTCGCTCTGTTGTTGATTTCGAAACCTTTTTGTCTTATATCATGATGTATGTGAGTATGTCATACGTGAAGGAATTTGATCTTTGTGGACATAACATCAACACAAGTTTATCCGAGAAGCTGTGCATTAGAGAGATGTGAATGTCTTCTAACTCAAAAAGTCAAAACTTTTATATGTCAGGGAGAATTCCTTTTGCCTTTCTGGAGGATATTCACCAGAGATTCGTACGGACGTATGGCAGGGCTGTTCATACAGCACAAGCTTATGCAATGAATGAGGAATTCTCTAGAGTTCTCAGTCAGCAGATTGAGTATTACTCTAATGATCCTAATGCCGATAGGATTAATCGGATTAAGGGTGAAATGAATCAGGTGTGATGAGTTTCTCTTACAAGTTCAATCTGATTGTGAATTTGTTTAGAGAGACTTGGTTCTGAATGTTGGCTTCACTGTTTGACAATACATCCCGGTTTTTCTTTTTGGTTTTGGACAGGTGCGGGGTGTCATGATAGAGAACATTGACAAAGTTCTAGATAGAGGTGAACGCTTGGAGCTTCTTGTCGATAAAACCGCCAATATGCAGGGGAATACATTCCGCTTCAGGAAGCAAGCTCGTCGTTTTAGAAGCAACGTCTGGTGGAGAAATTGCAAGCTCACGTATGTTTCCTAAAACCTTAGTAAACAATTTTCAGTGTTATGATTGCAAGACTGTATACTAAAACTAGTTTCTGGCCTAAGAACACATTAAACTGTAGCAAGTGAAGTGCTTTAATCACCCCCAAGTTCCACATTTGTAACGTCAAGTATCAAAGAAATGGAGTAAAACTTATCCTTTGCGCCAAATTTTACTGTGAAACGAAACATAGGGATTTTGGTGTTCGATAATTTTTGTGCCTTTTATGAATAACATCTCAAGTGAGAATTTTTCAAGAATCAAACATAGTTCCTAACCCTGTTTGTATCTTGCAGGGTCCTCTTAATACTACTACTACTGGTGATCATATACATCGCAGTGGCCTTTCTCTGCCACGGACCTACTCTACCATCTTGCATTTAAGTGTATCTGTCCCTCAAGGAATCCATCCCGATTCTGCGTGTTGCCACAACTTCTTTTCTCCTCACCTGATTGTAAACGTTCTGTTTCCTCGAGCTTTTTTAAAAAGCTTATGTTTTCAACTCACGTATATGAAGAAGTATACTTATTTATAGAGCAATGTAAAAGCTCATTGCTTTGCAAAGTGTGTGAATCTTTGTTGTCATCATGTTCTATAAATTACATACATAGTGGAGAAGTGAACAGGCTTGTTTTGTCTGATATTTTTATACAACTCTTTGAATCTTCATTTTCTTTTTTTTTTTTTTTTTTTTGTGAAACTGAATCTTCATTTTCTTTATTTATGTGACTTCCTCTCTCGCTTATCCACACCAACTTCTGAAGTCGGCAGTTGAATGACCCTACAAATTCTTGTCATTTTACAGTTTGAAGCCATTTGTTGATCATAATCGAATGTAAAATATTAGAAAAGAAAGATAGGAGAACAAGATACTACAAGTGTCAAAAATCGTTGTCCCAAAATAAAATATGGGTATCGTCACTAGTTAAGGCCAGACGCAGCTCATTCACCAACTTGACATCTTGTCATGCCACCTAATAATAGCTAAATAAATAAGTTGTATTAGGTGTGGATTATATATCTAGGAATAATATAGGTTTAAAACTTTAAAAGGATTTAACTTTTTAATTACACAATAGCAACATATTAAGATTAATTTTTTTTTTTTTTTTTAAATCAACATCCTGTTTACTAGAATGTTTACCGTTTTTACTATTAAAAAAGAAAAAAAACTAGAGTGTTTACTGTTTTTACAAATTTCTGTCTTTTAATTGAAGCTATAGCTTGACGTCAGGAAAAAAAAAACGTCGACTTGACGGTTTAAATATCGTTGCAGAAAAAGAAGAAAAGAAAAAGACGGCTAGATTACGCCTCCAAAAATTCTACAGTCCAAAAAGTCATCAAAATGTATATATATATTAAAACATGATTATTTACTTTCCTTACACAAAAATAAAAAATAAAAAGTGTTTTATTTTTCCTTGTCTAACGCTTTCCCTCTGCGTCCCCGTTCCTTCCCTCGCGGTTACTCTTCCGTTTTATGTTTTTTTCTGAGATGGTCAATTTTCTCGTCATCTCTGAATTTTCCCTTTTTCTCTTGTTCACTCCACCGCCTTCCTCTGCCTGATCTAATTCAATCTCCTTCCTAGCTCAAAGATTCAATCTTGAAGTCAATTTACACGACCAGATCTCTGCACTCTAACTCCTGGATCTTCTTCATTTCTGGGTTTCAATTTAGAGTTTTTATTTAATGGGTTGGAGATACAAAGCTGGTCTGTTCTTGATTGGCACTGTTGTTATCATATGGGTCACCTCTGCTGAAGTTACTCAGGTACTGATTCATTGTCTCTTAAATTCTTCCTTTTTTCGTTTAAAGCTTTCATCTTTTGAGGTTATGGATGTTTAATTTGGATCCAGTTCCATTAGGCTTGTTTTCAATCCTGGTCTTCGAGCTTTAAATTAGCGGTTTGAGTTTGATTCTATATTAAGAATCGGTGAATCAAATGGGAAATGCAAATTCAGATCTCTGTTTAAATGTTGGATAATTTATTGAATGATTTGACTTCAATTTGACCAGGATATCTTTACAGCCTATAAGCAGCCATTTGCTGTCACATATCTTGGAGCTTCTCTTATGATTGTTTACCTTCCCGTTGCATTCCTCAAAGACTGGCTTTGTCGATATTTAGATCGACGCTCTTCCAAATCCAGTAAAGTTCCCGCTTTGACCGATGAGTCTTCTGTTGGTTCTCCTTTGAAGCATAAAATCATTGAAATGGGACTTCAAGGGACTATAACTAAGAAAGATAGTGAGGAACACCTTTCCTCACATGAAGAAGATGAGAGACCCTTGATCGGTAAAGTTAGAGAAGAAGTGCAGACTCTGAAACAGAGGAAAGAGATCACGACTAAGCAGATTGCAATGTACGGGCTTTACCTCGCACCAATTTGGTTTGTAACAGAGGTGAGTTTTTGTTGTATTTGTATAGTTTTGATGGTGCCTGATAATGATATTTGTTTGCTACTTTTTGATGATACAGTATCTGTCCAATGCTGCTCTTGCTCGTACAAGTGTGGCAAGCACTACTGTATTGTCTTCAACCTCGGGACTGTTTACTCTTTTCATTGGTGTATTTTTGGGCCAAGATACTTTAAACTTGTCAAAAGTAGTTGCTGTATTTGTCAGCATGGCTGGGGTGGTCATGACGACGCTCGGGAAAACTTGGGCTGCTGATGAGTCGCAATTAAATTCTTCACTGTAAGTTTTTCATTCTAACCCGTTCACCATGCATCTTTTTCTGATATGTATTCAAAAGCTAACCCTGGACTGCATTTTAAATTGATAGCTCAATTTGTCTCACTCTCATAGAATTTTTTGATTACATGAGTTTTCGAATTTCATCAACCATATTCTTGTAACGTACAGTTGATATTTGTGTTTAGCAACGGGGAACGGTCCCTTATGGGAGATCTTTTTGGGCTTCTCTCTGCGGTCTCTTATGGACTATTTACAGGTTAGAAATGATTTCTATTATATGATCATCCTTCAATGATTTAGAGATTTAGTGTGTTGGGGAGGATAATAACCTTGTGGCCTGTACCCTTCTGATATTGACAAACAGTGCTTCTTAAGAAGTTTGCCGGTGAAGAAGGAGAAGGGGTTGATGTGCAAAAGTTGTTTGGATACATAGGATTGTTCACACTTGTTGCTCTCTGGTGGCTTGGTATACTAATATCTTCCATTCATTTTTACAAGTGTATCATCCGAAAAACATAACATATGAGACAAGGAAATGTTGTCTCTTATTCACAAATTTGTGGTTTTTTGGTTGTTTGTTTCAGTGTGGCCATTAACAGCATTAGGGATCGAACCCAAGTTTACCATACCACACTCTGTGAAAGTTGATGAAGTTGTCTTGGCCAACGGTTTCGTTGGAAGTGTCCTCTCTGACTATTTTTGGTATGTTTCAATGATTCTAGGTTTCAGCTATTACAAGATAAAGTGTACCCAACAATCAATGTTGAATTTGATACTTACAAGTCTCTAGTTATTGCTTGGCTAGATCCTAAAAAGAGGTTTGTAATTGCGTAGAAAATAACTTGGCTGTTTTTCGTACTTTTGCAACCAAAGGGCACTTTCTGTGGTGTGGACAACTCCGCTGGTAGCAACACTGGGCATGTCTCTCACAATTCCGCTTGCGATGGTTGCTGACATGATGATCCATGGTCGTCATTATTCAGCCATATACATTCTTGGCTCTACTCAGGTAACTAAAAACTCATATTCCATCAACACCCGAGAATGAATGAGTAACTTTCCTGATGCTCAAGAATTAGCGTTTGGTTTTTATTTTCAGGTGTTTGCTGGATTCGTAATAGCTAACATATCGGATTTGTTCTCAAAGAAGCTTGGTTTGTAGCACATATGATTCATTTTTGTTTGTTTGTTTGTGGTATTTCTGGGTAGAAAATGTGTCCTAGAAGATTCTTGGTTTGAACTGAAAGCTAAAAGGGATTTTCCCTGTTTAATGGATGAAAGAAAGATAAGAATGTGATTACAAGTTTTTGATTCCCATCTCCAGAAAATAAAGTGAGTTGTTGAGCAAAGATGAGCGACAAATAAAAATCACAGATTGTACATATAAGATGACACCGAACTAATAACCTTATTAACACAGATGAAATAATTTTTTGATCTTTAAAACTCCATCAACCAATAACCTTATTGACAGAGATGAAAGAACTTCTTATGCTAATGTGTATTTAAAAAAAATTAAAAGCCAATAATCGATATTCACGTTTGGTTTAGCGCGAAACCTCTTTCTGAGTCAGAAGGTTTATTTCGGATTGTTCTGTTTTCTTCCTCCTCTCCTGAAATCGAACGATTATAAAAAAATAAAAAAACTCGTCGTTTGGCTTTCGAGGATCTCCGGACGACGACCATGGCGCCGATTCTCAGATCCACTTCCCTTTTCGCTTTGATCGTCTGCCAGATTTCTCTCATCTTCTTATTTGCTTCCACTCTTCCGATCTCATCTGGGTAATCAATCTTCTATAGAGCTTTAATTTTCATTCAATCGTTGTTTTTCGTAGCTGCTATATCTTTTTAGCATTACCCTCTAAGCCCTTTTTCGTGTTTTGGGTTTGATAATTTGTGCAACGTTGATTTGATCTACTTGCTTGACGAATTTACTACTTAAGCTTATACATCCGAGGATATTTGTGCAATATACGAATTTACTGTCTTTGAATTCAGATGTTCAATTCATTCTTTCCTTTTCTTATCTGTTTGATATTTTTCAGGTCTGAGTCTGAGGAGAGTTACACAATCACGGGTAGAGTAAGGATCCCAGCAAGTAGGTTTCAGCCTTTTACCTTTTCTTTCTTTGCCTCATAGTTTTCTCTCGATAGCTCAGTTTGCTATGTTTTTGTTGGTTTATCTGAAACCTCCGTTTCATGGCATTTTTCCAAGGAGAAATACAATTATCGAAAACTAATTTCTATTAGTGAGTCTGCGATTTTCAATAGCAGATTTGTAGATGTTATTAGTCCTAGCTGTTATGCAACTTCCACTATGGGTGTGTTTGCTCTGTGAAACTAGTATGTCTTGTGATATTGATGTATATTCGTGGCTTAGCTAGTGTCAGTAAGTGAGAATCTAGGGTATGTATTAGTAATTCGATGTATGAACTTTCTATGTAGTATGCCATCTCTATAAGTCGACTGGCTAAAAGCAGTGTTTGCTTAAGAATATTAGCATATACGTTCTGATATCTTCAATTATGTTTCTAGAAAAATGTATGGTTTCTGTCATCATTGTTTTTGAGTGCTTAAGAATTATGGGCAATGTGATTTGATTGTTTGAGTAGTGTTTTTTGGACAATGTTTTTTCTGTCATTATTGTCTCTTGAGTGCTTCATATTATATCTAATTACATGATACTTCAACCACCATCTCGTATCCATTATGTAATAGCCTCACTACTCCTTACTGCCAACTTATCTGAAAGTTATTATGGCAGGCACCGTGATTGGTCATGCAGCTAAATTCTCAAGTATCAAAGTTATACTCAATGGTGGGCAGCATGTTACTTTCCTCAGGCCGGATGGATACTTTACCTTGTATACTACTATTCCTTCTTCAAATAATATGTTCCTTTAGTTATTTACTCACGATATCTACTAATTGGTTTCTTACTCATCTTTCATATGTCATCTCTCACATCTGTAGCTTTTGGTGTAAATGTTTTTAGATGTAGTTGAAAAAACCTTGACACCGTATTTTCTTGTGAGAAAAATAGTATCAGTATGTTTAATCTTCGTTTTCCTTTACTTCTCTAATTTCAAAGCCACAAAGTGCCAGCTGGAACTCATCTGATTGAAGTTTATGCAATGGGCTACTTCTTCTCCCCAGTAAGATCTTTTAGTTGCAATATTCTATGGTTTCCTGAACTACATCTATTTTAAGAACTCGCTTCACATTCTTGAATCAAATATTTTAAATTAGGTGCGAGTTGATGTTAGTGCTCGGCATCGTGGAAAGGTTCAAGCAACACTAACAGAAACCAGGAGGAGTCTTACTGAGCTGGTCTTGGAGCCACTGCGGGCAGAGCAATACTATGAGGTGAATAGTTCACACTGTATCTTCTTGTTTTGTATTTGTTTAGTCTGATCTATATGCGTGCGTCTTCCTCCTGTTTTCTGATCAATCATGTACTATTTGCAGATGCGAGAACCTTTCTCTGTAATGTCAATTGTGAAAAGTCCAATGGGTCTTATGGTGGGATTCATGGTCGTTGTTGTGTTCTTAATGCCTAAGTTGATGGAAAACATAGGTACAATTCTTTAAACTCTTCACTTGTACCCATGTATTGGTAATGTTCATCATTAAACCGATTTGTGGGTCTCGCTCTATCTAGTAGCTATCAATGCGACAGTAATCAACCTAAGCAGTTCACAGTCTGCCGAGGAATTTAACATTGATTTACTTTATATGGATAATCTCTTTTCACCATTGCTTAAAATCACTTCAAGCTATTGTTGAATTGAAACCTAGCAAAATAGATTTTAATGGTTTGCTGAGAATTGTTGGTATGTGTGATAAACAGATCCAGAGGAAATGAAGAGCGCACAAGAGCAGATGAGAAGCCAAGGAGTGCCTTCGCTCACTAGCTTGTTACCCGCTAGCCGCTAAGCGTTAACCAACAGTCCAAGACACAGGGGTACCAGTTAAAAAATTGCCAGGATAGACTTGGAAGAAATCAGCATCAGCAAATTCCTCAAGCGATCTAACATTGGGTTTACAAGGTTGGTTAGTGTAGAGACTGTTATTGTGCAGAGACCTCTCAGACTGACCTAAAGTTGGATTTTTATTTTTAGTTTATTTGATGGTGAATGTTTTGCCCTGTTTTATTTTTTTTGGGATGGAAATGTCATAAAATCCTTTAAGAAAGATACACGAATTCTAAAATAAAATCTATAAAACGTTCAGCGTGTATATGTATTGTTTAGTAATTCCTAAATTTTAAACAAGAAAACAAAATTGGTCTATTACTGAGCATTTTTTTGAAGTAAAAGAATAGTTTCGAGCCCGAAAACTGCAGAGTGAATCAGAGTGTTCTTGTCACCTGAAATCGGAATCATGTCGGGATAACCGACGACCAGAAAGAAACGCTTCCCGAACAAGGAAACATATCTATATCATCTGTTACTTGTTAGATTTGCTTTTCCTTGTTCACTTTCTCGATTTTGAATCTGAGAATTCGTCTCTCTGCCTCCCCCGATCGCTCTCCCTCTCGCCGCGGATTGAGATGGAGAGCTTACCAACGACGGTCTCAGCGAAATCAGACCGGCGAGGTAGGTCTTCCAAGTCTCAGAACACCTCCAAGCCCTCTCTTATCTTGGCCTTCTTCTCCTGTCTAGCTTGGCTCTACGTCGCTGGCCGGTACGTCCCCTTTTCCGACTGATTATAATTCCTGTGAGTATTCAAATCTCATTGATTCTAGATTTGTTTGAATTATTTAGAGTTTTGAAGATCGTGATGGTTATGGAACATTTTTTTCATAGTTGTTGATAGATCTCGCAGACGCTAGATTCTTCCGTTTTTCCACAGTTTTGTTGCCAGTCTAGATTTCTATAATGTCAGATATAACTGTATTGCAATGTGTATTTTGGGTCTGAGTTCCATTACAGTAATCTACCAATCACAAACTCAAACTCGATCACTGGATCGGTATCAATTGATTCTGATCTCTAATATGGTGTTGTTCTTACGTTTAGGTTGTGGCAAGATGCACAGTACAGAGCAGCACTCAATACTGTGCTTAAGAAGAATTATGATCAGGTTGGTCTTTCTTGTGCCTCTCTTGAATATAAGAAACCAGTATTCATTCAAACGGGTCATTTTCACTAATCAAATGTTTTGTCTTTTCATCATGTTCTTGTGGAGTATATAGAGGCCTAAGGTTCTTACGGTGGAGGACAAGCTGGTAGTCCTTGGATGCAAGTAAGCTGGACTTTTTTTCCCATAACATGTTTTTCTGTTCTGCATGTACTAATACACAATGTAACTGTTTTATAGAGATCTTGAGAGGAGAATTGTTGAAACTGAAATGGAGTTGGCACAGGCAAAGAGTCAAGGCTATCTTAAAAACCAGAAAAGTGTCTCTTCCTCAGGGAAGAAAATGCTTGCTGTTATTGGAGTTTACACAGGCTTTGGAAGTCATTTGAAGCGCAATAAATTTAGAGGCTCTTGGATGCCACGAGGTAGAATTATCACCCTGCTTTGTTTGGTCATCCAACAATGTTTTATTAAAAAATTTGTTCAACAAATAAGTTTTCTTTTATGGAATTTTCTTCTCTTTAGATGATGCTCTGAAAAAACTTGAGGAAAGAGGAGTTGTCATACGCTTTGTGATTGGTCGGAGGTTTTCCTACTCACTTTAGTCTTCATTTCTTTAGAAGTTTAAAGTTTTTCATGGTCTAATGTTAATGCTTTATAAGTTTCCAGTGCTAACCGAGGTGATAGCCTAGATAGGAAAATTGACGAAGAAAATCGTGCAACTAAAGACTTTTTGATTCTTGTAAGTAAGGATAACTCTTTTGCTTCATTTTGGCCTACTTATTTGAATTTATTCTCACGAATGTCGCTTCCAATCTGCATGTTTCTCTCAAAATATGATGGATTATTAGGAGAATCATGAGGAAGCCCAAGAAGAGTTACCAAAGAAAGTGAAGTTCTTCTACAGTGCTGCTGTTCAGAATTGGGATGCAGAGTTTTATGTCAAAGTTGATGACAACGTTGACCTAGATCTTGGTAATACTTCCTCTTTCATGTCTTTGTCTTGCAAAGCTATGTTTGGTCCAATCAGGGTATCAACTATGTCTTTGAGTGACAATTGTTTTCTGTCTAACAGAAGGGATGATTGGGCTTCTTGAAAGCCGCCGTGGTCAAGATGGTGCTTACATTGGGTGCATGAAATCTGGAGATGTGATTACTGAAGAGTTCGTATATTCTCAACTATCTTCAGTTCACATAATTGAGACTTCCTAGCTGTGACAATTGCCCAAACGTTTCATAATTAACATTCTCATTCTCATATTCTATGGATTGTTTCTTGGTATTCAGGGGAAGTCAATGGTATGAGCCTGAGTGGTGGAAATTTGGGGACGACAAATCGTAAGTGTCTTATACCTCATAAGTCTTCTAGTTTATGTCAAGCCTTTGTGACCTTCGTTGTGTGTACTCAGTTTCTTTGTTCGATTTATTTAGGTATTTCCGTCATGCAACTGGTTCGCTGGTAATACTCTCCAAGAATCTGGCTCAGTATGTCAATATAAACAGGTTAGGTTTCCCAATTTGGCAGAAGATTGAGTCAGATGAAGAGTATATATGTCAAACAAAGCTTGGTTCATAATCATTGTATATTTTCTGCCACGGTGTATTATATATAAATGCAGTGGATTGTTGAAGACATATGCGTATGATGATACCACCATTGGATCATGGATGATTGGCGTCCAGACAACATATATAGACGACAATCGCCTTTGCTGCAGCAGCACAAGACAAGGTGTGAATACTACTCTCTCACAGTAACTGTTAACATGGTTAACTGAAGAATATTTAGGTTTTGCGATATTAATATTAGAACATGAATCATTGTCTTAGCAGCTTCTTGTTAAATTTATAACCAATGTAAATATGTTCATTTCGCAGAAAAAGTGTGTTCCATGGCATGATCAATGCATAGCTGATCCTCTTGTCCCAGAGCAAAGACGACGGTTTCTCATTGCATTCATGGTGCTCCGATACTCTTTTGAGGCAAATTCTTGGACCGGATACTGAATTTACGATTAGTTTTGTTAGAATGGGAGTATGATTAGGCCATTCATTACAGTTTATGATTAGGGCATGCGTATCCCTTGAGCTTTGGAGTAAGAAAATGGGGAAATGGTATAGTTGTGAATAAGTATAATTTTTCCTTTGGTATCACTTCACCATCATTTGTCCGACCATTCTAGCTCAATCTCTGGCAAGGTTTCATGTTCGAACCTTAAGTTTGCATTTTTGGTGATGGTTTTAAAAAATGTGTTAGTTAATGGGACAAAGTAAATCGACACTTCGGACCAATACTATATATGTATGAAGAAAAATAAAAGACATTATGCTTAATTAGCTTTGATATCGCTGACAAAAAAATAGGTTTTTGATTTTTGAAGTATTTAACAAGTTCTTGAATTAGTGTTACCGAAAGAAGGTAAGGAAACTAATTCATCAAAAAAAAGGAGGGTAAGGAAACTAGAAAGAAAACAATAACATTGTGAAAAATACTAATTGAGAATTTTTGAGATATTTTACAAGTTTGACCGTCTTAACTCTTAAAGCACATCTTATCTGTCTCCAGTAAATTCATTTTTTCTCCTTTTCAGATTGATCCTAGTCCTAGCTACCAAAAAATAGTTTTGACATTGTGGTCAAAGAATTAGCTTCCACCTTTTTTATCAAAACAAAGACAATAATCTTAAACTTTTTATTATTTTCCATACTAAAGGTTTTTCGAAAAGTGAAATAAATCAGTAGATTCTTTCTTTTAATTAACTTCCTATAACTGGTAAGAAAAACAAATGTCAAACTATCCCAAAACTTTTCTATTATATAAATTAACCCAAAACGCCTCCCGATAAATACCCAACATCACATTCGAGCACCCATACTCTCATAGTGACTACGTTTCCAAATTTCGTCTTTGATAAAACTCGAAAGTCAGACAATGGCATCAAACGCTTGCAAACTCATTTGCCTTGTTCTCTTCTTCGCATTCATTAACCAAGGTATACTTTATATACATTTATATAAAACAATTATATCATAGTTTTCAATTTGCGTATATATTCTTTGTCTTATTAACAAATTTCGTATTCCCAAATCATCTATATGATCAGTGATCACTATAACCTTGTAGTCTCCATCTCCATTGGATTAAAGCTTAACGTTATATTTAGAACATATCAACATTATGTAATTTAATTAATATTTTCTTTTCTTGTTATTAGTTATTACGTAACGGAAAATAAAACTTTGTTTTTCCTTGGAAATTTGGAAGGGTATGGAGATTGTCATCTAAATGACCTATCTGTGAAACAGTCGAAGACCGGAAAATTGATTCAGAACAAACCAGAGTGGGAAGTGAGAGTAACAAACCCTTGCAAATGCAAATTCCAATACACAAAGTTGTCATGTGTCGGTTTCCAATCGGTTACACCCGTCGCTACCTCGTTGTTGTCGAAATCCGGTGACTTGTGTCTCCTCAACGCCGGTAAATTCATCTTTCCTCACGTGGACTTCGTTTTCAAATACGTTTGGGACACGAGCTTCGACCTCAAGGTTATCGACGGCGTAATCGTTTGCCCTTAAATTTTCTAGGCGAATTGTTTCGGTTTAATTCGGTTTTGGTTCATGTTAGGTAGATCACATGAAACTGATGATATTTACTCAAATGCTGTCCCAAACATTAGCTTAAGGATTAATAAAGATGTTTACTTCAGTATTATTCACATTATGTTGACCAAATGAAAAATACAAAGCTTGACCATATATAATAAATTTGGTCATAAAATAATTTGATGTTAAATGTCTGCTTTAAGTGATAGAAAAAGATAAAATATAGGAAAATCGTGATTTTTACAAATTATATGAGAGAAATAAATAAAAAATAATGAAAATATATTTTTTAAAAAATGGCTACATGACAAAAGAATAGAGCACTTACAATTGATTAATTAAAATAATAAATGTTTAAAAACAAAAAAGAGGCAGAGGAAGGGAATGCCGCTGATCAGGCATCTTCAGGTATAATCCCTGATATCTTCCCATCTTTTATTTAGTTATTTGATTTTCATTTTTCTTTCATGTTTGTCTTGAGATTTAAAAATCTGCATGGCTAGGCTCAATATAGATCTTTTTGTACTTGGGGTGAAATGCAGAATTGTGGAAAATAAGGCTACGTCTTTTAGGTATTACGTAGTGTTCTTTTCAGGATATTTTATGACTCGGTGGGTGTTTTATGCAAAATGGAAAGTCTGTCTACTAGGGGAAAATGTGCATCTTTTTGCTTTCCAGTTTGTTTTGCACGAAGATGTCTGGAAGTCCAAAACTGTAGCATCTTCTATAGTCTGTCGATTGTAGTCCTTTTCGATAAATCTTAGTTACTGGCTCAACAATAATGTAGTTAACTCTGCTGCAATATTTTTTAATTGTGCCTCACTTGTTTTCTACCCTCTGTGGGAAAAATATCAGCGAGAGCTCACAGAAGAAACAGTCACGTATTGAGAAGCCAGCGATGTTTGCTTCCTGTTTTAAGCCTCGAGGTTTGGAAGTCAAACACAGGGGAACAAAACACAGGTCACAGAAGAAAATCTCGGTTTATGCTCTATAATTCATCAGGTAACTCATTAATAAATACATGCTTGGTTTTCTATAAATCCTCTATTGACTCTGATTTTTCTATATGAAGTCCCTGTTTAATCCAACTTTTCCATTTCTCTAGCAGGAAGAAGACCTGTTGGTTTTGCCTCTGGAGATGAGAGGTTGTTATATTCAAATCAAAGCTATGACCACTTGAATGAATTTCCTATGCAACCGGGAACATATTCCCCCCGTGACATAGGCATGGGATACTTCTCGAGCGGTGGAAATGGATATCATGCATAGGAATCACCAAAACAAGTTGCAAAGAATCAATGGGAAGAGGAACACGAGTGGACGATGGGATGCAGGCTATTCTGAATGCCCCAGTTCCAGTCTTGTCTGTTACTCCAACGGATCTCAGCTTCATGATCTGGAAGAATTACAGAACAGTACAGATATTGATGAGTACAAATTGAGAGATGGAGCTGGTGCTGCAAGGCGCTTTGGCGAAGCTCAAGCGAGAAAGAGCAGAGAGTTTGAGGTACAAAGCAGATCTAGCGAGATTTTCTTCTGTGGACCCAAGCAACAATGGGTTAGAAAGCTCAAGCGAAGGATGAGTCGATAGATACCACTTTTGTTAGTCTGGGTTATGTCACCTCTTGAGCAAAAGAAGAAAGCGGGATTCGACATGTCCTGTTCGTCACACGAGCTGGTCTTGACACTTGTCATGTATATAACATGACTTAAAACTTTTATACAGTAGTTGGTTATACCTAAGAGGATAGTCATATAATTACAAAAAAAAAAGAAAAGCGACCCCTTGTTTGAGTTTTGTTTATTTGCCAAAGAGTCAAAATGTCCCCTATATAGGTTTGATAAATAATAATTTATTCATGGAAAAAAAAAAAAATTTCTGCCCGTCAGACTTAGTTTCTACTCATCACATGTGAGCGGCTTGCCACTAGTACAACACGGGTGTCGTGTTGGGTTTTCATCTTCAGCAGGTTTTGATAGCCTATCAAGTTCGTTTATATTTATAGTCGCACACAAGAACTTTTGCTTCCGATGTGGGACTCTTTTTTCTCCGTCTCATTTCTATTTCTTCTACTGGGCCTGTTGTTGGGCTTTTCGTTTTGTCGTCTTCTCCACTCTGAAATTATGGTTTTGATATACGGCTCGCTCTTATGTAATAATGAAGGTAGATAGTGATTTAACACCAAAACATTCAAAAGTAGCTTAAGGTTACGTTCAGACAAAAGCTTAACCACGTTCGGACATAAACTTAACCAGGACATAATATAACCACGTTCGGACATAAACTTAACCAGGACATAATATAAGTCGAACTAATATATAAGAGTTGCATTCTGTCACACCAAGGAGTTTAAAATCTTCTTCTATCAGTCGTCGTCAGAGAAGGTAACCTTCTGACCGCAGCATAAACTCATCAGTGAAGGTTTCTTCAGATCCGGTTCGGTCTTCTCTTTTATCAGAAGCCTTCCTCGTCGAAGGTTATCTTCGTACCTGGAATGTATCAAAAACCCTTGTCATCTCTCCACGTATACAGAAAATTTACACGCAGTGTGCTCTTGATAACAAATACACCAAAGGCAAATAGTTAAAATCCCTTACCAAAGCTTCTTTGCAACGTTGTACCTAATTACCAAAAATAATAGCGTGTTAATCTTCTATCATGACATCAAAACTATAGCCAATAAGCTAGTGAAACAAATCTCCATATGGAAAATCACTTTACTTTGGTCCAACAGGGTATAAAGCTATCTCAGCCACGTCAACAGAAATCTTACTATACTGACCATTCTTCTTTTGCAGCGCCTACAGCATAAAAGGTTTAATGAGAAATCGTACTCTCAAATATATATTTCTCATCACAAGTTCTTTTTGAACAAATTCAAATGGCTACTTAAATAGTTTTCAACATTACTAGAAACTACACTCACCTTCTCTGCTTCGTTCGAAGAATTAAACTCCACAAAGCCACAGCCCACAGGCACACCCATGTGGTCTACAATAATTCGAACATGAACAATTTCTCCAACATCTTTGAAGAAATTGATGCTGTAAAAATGCAGGGTAGAATATGAGTTCATTAAAAAAAAGTTGCTCCAAGAACAAAACAGAAGAGGCAGTTAAAGGTGCTGCTTACATAGTTGGTACAATTCGACGACAGCTGTAAGGGAGATTGGCGACAAAGAGTGTCTTTTTTCTTGCAGCAGCTTCCTGAATTTTGACACCCAAGTGTGTTAGCACGACTCTAAGGAGAAAAGGACTTGAATTGCATAACAACTAAAAAGTAGCCTCATCTAAAGACTCATCCTCAGAATAAGTCATCTTTCGAATTTGTGGCGTTATTAAACGCTAAGCGCTTCTGCTGAGCCTAACATATTTTGAAGATAGTCAAAACAGGTACCTCAAGAAAATCAGGAGTTTCATCAAGTCCTTCCACTGCCTCATCTTCTTTAATCAGAAGGCTTTCTCTTCGAAGGTAGTCTTCGTACCTGGAATATCAGAAACCTTAGTGATCACTCCACGTATACCAAAAAGTTCACCCAGTGTGCTCTTGATGCAAATAGTTAAATCCCTTACCAAACCTTGTGATCTAGGCAAAACCTAATTAACAGAAATAAAAGCATTAGTCTTCTGCAGTGGCATCAAAGCTCTAGCAATAAGTTACAACCAGTGTTACAGAAACATATCTCCATAACATGGAAAATCAATTTACTTGGGAGGACGGTATGGAGCTGTCTTAGCCACGTCAAGAGAAATCTTGTAATTGTGCAAATATTCCCCGTTCTTTACCAGCGCCTACAGTATAAAAGATTTAATCAGCAATCATACTTTCCAATAACTACTTGTATATTTCTCATCATAAGCAAACACCACGTTTCAACTGACTACAAAAATGCTTTTTTCATTACTAGAAAACTAAAATGCTTTTTTTCATCATTACTTCAAACTTCAAAATGACACTCTCACCTTCTCTGCTTCGTTAGCAGAAGCAAACTCAACAAAGCCCCAGCCCGCATGCTTGCCCTGGCTGTTTACAACAAGTCGAACATGAACAACTTCTCCAACATCTTTGAAGAAATTGATGCTGTAAATACGGAGGATCAAATTATTAGTCATGAAAACTTGCTCTGAGAAGCAAAGTGGAAATTTAAGATGCTACTGACATATCTGATATCTTAATGGTGTCACAGAGATTGGCAACAAAGAGCGTTTTTGTTATGGCAGCTTCCTGGATTTTAAGAGCCAAGTGAGTTAGCACGACTCTAAGGAGAAAAGTACTTAAGTTGCAGAAAAACAAAACAGGATTCATCCCCAGAATAAGACATCTTTCGAATTTTTGGCAACAGCCTGACATATTTTGAAGACAATAGGAACAGGTACCTCAACAAAACCAGGAGATTCATGTCCTCTCATCAACAAAATCTGATGATCGTGCAGATAGTCACCATTCTTCTCTTCCAGAGCCTACAGTATAAAAGATTTAATCAGGTATTGTACTTTCAAATAACTGCTTGTATATTTCTCGTCAAAAGTATAACACTACTTTTTAGATTACTCGACTACATTTTTCATCATTACTACAAAACTACTCTCACCTTGTTTGCTCCGTAAGCAGAAGCAAACTCAACAAAGCCATAGCCCACATGCTTACCCTCGTGGTTAACAACAAGTCGAACGCTAACGACTTCTGCAACATCATTGAAGAAACCTTTGCTGCAAAAGCGGAGGATAAAATATCAGTCAAGGAAAACTTGCTCCGAGAAGGAAAAATGGAAAGTTAAGGTGCTGCTTACATATGTGCTATTTTAGTTTGGGGAGAGAGATTGGAAACAATGACTACTTCCTGAAATTAACACCCAAGTGTGTTAGCAGGACTCTACACGGAGAAAAGGACTTAAATTGCATAACAAACAAAATGTAACAGAAAAGGATAATTAGAACAGGCACCTCAACAAAATCAAGAGGTGTCTCATCTTCTTCTATCGGAAGGCTTTCTAGTTGAAAGGAGTCATGGTTCCTGGAATATCAAAAACCTTAGTGATCACTCCATGTACACCAAAAAGCTCACACAGTGTGGTCTTGATAACAAAACTCAGAGATGCAAAATAGTTGAATCCCTTACGAAACCTTGTGATCCATGCAAAACCTAATAAACAAAAATAAAAGCGTTAGTCTTTTAAAGTGGCATTACAGAAACAAAACCCCATAACATGGAAAACCAATTTACTTGGGTGGACGGTATGGAGTTGTCTGAGCCACTCTAAGAGAAATCTCTTGATCGTGCAAATATTCACCGTTCTTCTTTTCCATTGCCTAGAGTATAAAAGATTTAATCAGCAATAGTACACTATCAAATAACTACTTGTATATTTTCAAATGAGATACTATTTTCATCATTACTACAAAACTAGTCTCACCTTGTTTGCCTCACTAGCAGAAGTAAACTCAACAAAGCCAGAGCGCAACCGCCTACCCTCGTGGGTTATACAAATTCGAACATGAACAACTTCTCCAACATCACTGAAGAAATCGATGCTGTAAAAGTGAAGTATAAAATATCAGTAATGAAAAGCTTGCTCTGAGAAGGAAAGTGGAAGTTTATTGTTATGCTTACATATCTGATATTTTTGTTTGCCTAGAGAGACCGGAGACAAAGAGCGTTACGGAAGCAGCCTGAATATAACAGGCAAGTGTGTTAGCACGACTCTAAAGAGAAAAGGACTTAAAATTGCATAACAACAATAACCAAAAAAAAAAAAAAAACTTTCGACTTTGTGGCGAAAGGTGTGTTATTAAATGTCTGAGCCTGACATATTTTGAAAATAATAACAACACATTTTGGAGATGCTTAATTGAACAATATATGCAAAATATCTAACAAACCATGCAATATTTTATAAAAAAATTATACCTTCGCTGAGGTTAGATTATCCTGCTCAGAATTCTGCTGAAGACTACAGGCAAATCCTTCCGTTGTCTCCTAGCCAATAGAACACGAGTGTAAAGCAAAATTGTTGTAAAAGAACAAGAGGAATCCGACCATCTTAGGTTACCTTCTCCTCCGATGTTTCCTTATGCTTCCTGAGAATCGGTTTGGTCTCCGGATCATCTTCCGGCTTTCGCTTACCTAAAAGAAGAGCAGCAAAAGCTTAGAGTTAAAATCAACAGCCAAGTAATTGAACAGTATAAAACATTAGATGAGAGCTCAGAGCCATCCAAAACATACCCAATAAAAGAACTTTGGCGGCCGATTCCTTGCTAGAACTCTCCATGGAGAAGCAGATGAAAATGGCGACGGCTTTTTTTCCCGGGAAGGGTTATTGAGAGCAACAATAATAAGTTTGTTATATAAATAACCCTAGAAATCTGGTTTGGGCTGGTGGGCTTTTATTGGTTTGTGGCTTTATGTGCAGTGTTTTGTTTTCTCCCGTTTTCTATTTCGGTTTTTTATCGGTTCGATTTGATTTTCGAGTAATTCACGTATTCGGTTTAAAAACCAAAAAATAACGGTACAAAATATCATTTACAACATCAACTTTAGCAAAACTGTCGACCAAAAAAAAAAAAAAAACTCTTGATCTTACATGTTTTTAACTAAAATACCAACTTTGACTGACTTTCTTTTTTCTGGTCGGGAAAGAAAAACAAAATCTCCTAAAATTTTTTGAAAAATAAAATTACAAAGATTTCATTAGAATACGTCGTGGGCGCGCATACCCGTTCGTGTCCTCTACAAATATCTAACTAACAACGTCCGGTTTAGACTCAAATAAATGAAAACCAAGCGGTAAAGCAAACACATAGTTCGCTAATCCGTCAGCAAGACGATTATCCTCCCTATACCCATGAACAATACAAACTATCCAGTCCCTCGATAAGAAGCCATAATACAACCGTACTAGGAAAGACAAAGGATGAGCATCATTGATCCCCGTCGTGAGAAAACCAACAACCATCTCCGAATCCACCTCAAGCTTCAACCTTGTAATTCTACGCTCCCAAGCTATGTACAAACCATAATAAACTCGCCGTACCTCAACCAAAGGTGTAGAACATACCCCTATATTTAAAGCAAAACCTCCACTGTTCCACCTTAGCGTGAATATATTGCTCCAATGATTTCAACAAGGCAAAGGAGTGTATATATAAGTATACCTTGGTTAACGAATGCGAGGAAGAGAACAAGGCAAAGGAGTTTGCAAGCGTTTGATGCCATTGTCTGATCTTTCGAGTTTTAGCAAACGACGAAATTTGGAAAACGTAGTAAGTATGAGAGTATGGTATGGGTGTTCAAATGTGATGTTGGTATTTATAGGGAGGTGTTGGGGTTAATATAAAGAAGAAAAGTTTTGGGATGTAAGATTGGTAAAATTATATGTATTAATGAATAGAGAGGCCTCTATATATAGGCTTACAAGAGAAGATTCTAGAGGATATACACTAGAGATTTCCATAACAAGATTTGGAAGATTTACATTTATCTATTACTCTAACATGCCCCCTCAAGATGGAGAACCATTGGTTACTCCAATCTTGAACCGAAGATCTTGGAAGCGAGCCCGTGGTAGCGGTTTAGTAAGACCGTCGGCGAGTTGATCAATAGAATTGACATGGAGAACACGAAGAACGCCAGCTTGAATAAGTTCACGTACAAAATGATAATCCAAAGCAAGGTGTTTCATACGAGAGTGAAACACAGGATTAGCACATAAGTATGTGGCTCCAATATTGTCACAATAAACCTTGGGAGCTGTTGGAGTCCGGATACGAAGATCAGATAAAAGAGATAGAACCCATTTCACTTCAGAAGCTGCCTCTGTAACCGCTCTATACTCTGCCTCAGTAGACGAACGAGAGACTCCTTTTTGCTTCTTAGACGACCAAGAAATTGGATGTGAACCAAGATAAACGATATATGCCCCCGTAGAGGAGTAGTCATCTTTGTCTCCGCCCCAATCCGCATCAGAATAGGCAGATAGTTCTAAGGAAGCATTCGCCGAAAACCACAAACCATGTTCAACAGTCCCGGCAAGATAGCGCAGCACTCTCTTAACAGCATCCCAATGAACAGTAGTCGGAGAATGCATAAACTGAGATAAACGATTGACCGCAAAGCCAATGTCAGGACGTGTGAGAGCAAGATATTGAAGACTTCCTACCGCAGCACGATACTCCGTCGGATCAGATAATTTAACACCATCAGACACAGTGAGAGTTGTGGAAGAAGCCATTGGTGTAGGAACCGGTTTAGCTCCAATCATGTGATACTTGGTGAGTATATCTGTGGTGTACTTACGTTGGTTCAGCCTAATGCCCGCAGAGCTACGAGTAACCTCAAGACCAAGGAAGTAAGAGAGAGCACCCATGTCTTTTAACGAGAACCGCTTGGAGAGAACTTGAATGAAACGATCAATAGCCAAAGCACTGTTTCCGGTAAGAACAATATCATCAACATACACTAACATGTAAATGATGACGTCTCCCATATGAAAAACAAACACCGACGCATCCGCTAAGGAATTAACAAATCCATTGCTAAGAAGAAAATCCCGCAGCTCATTGTACCATGCTCTAGGAGCCTGCTTCAAACCATATATCGCTTTGTGTAAACGACATACATAATGTGGTTTGTCTTTGTCAATAAATCCCGGTGGTTGACTCATATACACCTCTTCTGTAAGTTTCCCTTGTAAGAAGGCATTGTTGACGTCAAGTTGCCGTAATACCCAATTTTTCCGTGCAGCAAGTCCAAGTACCACCCGTATCGTAACATGTTTGATAACAGGGCTGAAAGTTTCTTGAAAATCTATTCCCGGGCGTTGATGAAAACCTTTTGCAACAAGTCTCGCCTTAAACCGGTCAATTGTCCCATCGGCTTTCCTTTTGATCACAAAAATCCATCGATTGCCTACCACATTTGATGCAACACGAGGATCTACCAATGTGAACGTACCGTTACGTACAATAGAATCAAACTCTTCTCCCATAGCACGTCTCCATCGTTCATCTTTCAAGGCTTGAACATGGGACGTTGGTTCAACTTCCTCAAGCTTTATATTATTTGCAAACTTTCTGTTAGGTTTCTGAATATTATTCTTTGCTCTTGTAACCATTGGATGAATATTGCTTGGAACCATGGCAGGAGTAGGATTTTCGACCACGGCATTGTTCTCGACATTGGACGTCTCTAGGGAGTCAGAATTGTCATTCTCATTTGGTGAAGAATCATTGTCGGACGGTGCTGATTCCGTTGTTGTTGGTGAAGGATCCAAACTGGAGGGCGAGCGGGTGATGAGTGGCTCACGATAGACCCGAGCTACGGAAACTGGATGAAACACAGAGGAAGAGGACTCATGGGAAGTGTTAGTGGAAGATAAAAATGAAGATAAAGGAAATTCATTTTCATGGAATTCAACATGACGAGAGACAAATATTTTGGATGTGGAAAAATCATAACATAGGTAGGCACTTTGTGTAAGAGAATATCCAAGAAAAATACATGGAGTGGAACGAGGTGAGAGCTTGTTTTGTGAATAAGGACGAAGCCATGGATAGCAAAGACAACCAAACACACGAAGCCTTGTATAGTTTGGTGTGGACTGAAAAAGAACCTCATATGGAGAGACATTGGAGAGAATCGGTGTAGGCATTCTGTTGATGAGAAAGACCGCTGCGGCTAGTGAGTAAGACCAATACTCTATTGGTATTTTAGCGTGTGACATTAGTGACAATCCCGTCTCAACAATGTGACGATGTTTTCTCTCTGCAATGCCATTATGTTCGGGTGTGTGAGGTGGTGATGTGAGATGTGAAATGCCATGACTTGCAAGATAGGGCCTTAAGCCAATATATTCACCTCCATTGTCCGAATATAGCGTTGTAAGCTTTGTCTTGAACCGATTCTCCACCAATGCCCTGAAAACCGGAAAAATTGTGGCAACATGAGATTTTTGTTTTAATGGATAAAGCCATGTATACCTTGTATAATGGTCAACAAAAAATCACATAGTATTTATAGCCATCAATGGAGTAAACCGGAGATGTCCACACATCCGAGAAAACAATATCAAGGGGAAAGTGTGAATGAATTGATGATTGAGAAAATGGTAGTTTATGACTTTTATTAATAGAACAAGCATTGCAAATTGTCGAAAAAGACATAGGTATTTTAGAACGAGATGAAATAAGTTGAATAACAGAATTTGCCGGATGCCCTAATCGAGCATGCCAAGCAGGAGAAGATGTTTTAAAAGTAGAAAAAGCCGAAACAAAAGAAGATCCGGAAGGAATCGTTGGCCACTCATACAACCCATCATTAGCTCTGCCCTTGATTATTGTTGCCCCCGTGTTGAGATCCTTCACCTGAAAATCATTAGGACACATTTGAACCATTACACCATTAGATCGACATAGTTTATTCACCGAGATCAAGTTCTTCTTGATAGTCGGAACACACAAGACATTATCAAGTAATAACTGTTTAGTTGGAGTAGAGAAAGTAGTGGAACCCGTATTAGTAATTGGCAAGCCAGCTCCGTTGCCAACAATCACTTCTTCACCGCCATTGTATGGACCCGCAATGGACATATTGCTGAAATCTGTAGCAATGTGATGAGTCGCTCCACTATCTAGTAACCACGGTGCTTGTGAATAGTTAGTGGAAGCGGTGTAATGAGCTCGCGGCTGCCAGTTGGGAGGCGGCATCGGTGGTGGTGGATTCCACATTGTTGGAGATGATGGTGGCGGATACTGCGACGGCGGAGACCATTGTGGTGAGGCAAGCTGACGACAAGTCCGTGCACTATGACCATGAATACCACAAATCTGGCATCTTCCTTGGTACCCACGTCCTTGTGTTCCTCTTCCAGAGCCTCTACCTCTTCCATAGTTGTTGTTGTTGTTGTAGTATTGGTTCTGATTCTGTTTAGAGGAGTTGTTATTGTTGTTGTATTTGTGTTGTGCCATGTTTGCAGACGCAGGGGCAGCCGTTGATGTTGTCTCCGCAAGGTTGCGAAGCGTGTTCTCTCTGTTGAGAAGTTTCTCGTGTAGCTCTTCAATAGATATTGGAGTTTCTCTTCCATTGACAAGTTCCACAACCGGACGGTAATCCTCATCTAAGCCAGTAGTGATGTGATCAAGTAGGTCTTCATGCGGGAGTGGTGAGCCAAGGAGCGCTAACTTGTCAGCCTTAGTAACAACATTCTTCATGTAGTCTTCCACCGATTGATTTCCTTTGGAGATGGTCTTGAGTTGATGTTTGATTTGGTTGATGTGTGCTCTTGATGGATTGCCATAAGTCGTGGCTAGCTTAGCCCAGATCTCACGAGTAGTCTTCGCACGTGAAACCATTGGTTGCACTTGAAGAGATAGAGTGCCAATGATAGCACTGTAAAGAAGACGATCTTGTCTTGTCCAAGAAGTAAACTTAGGGTTTGGTGTTGTCACAGTACCTGAAACGATGTGGGTGGGTGGAGCTTGATCGGTTTCACTAATAAAACCATGAAGCTCGTGACCTTCTAGGAGAGCTGTGATCTGAAGACGCCAAGTGAGATAATTCATTGATGTCAACTTTGTGATGTTTGACATGTTCACGGCGATGAGAGTTGGGGTTTCACTATCTATGTCAAAGATAGGTACTCTCGAATACGTTGCAACTGACGATGAAACTTCTTCACTCATGTTGATGATTGAAGAAAGAACCGATGAAAAGAGACGCTAGGTCTGTAGCGGCGGTGGCGTGAAGAAAAAAAAAAATTAGGGTTTTTGTGTTTTGATCGATTGCTCTGATACCATGTAAGATTGGTAAAATTATATGTATTAATGAATAGAGAGGCCTCTATATATAGGCTTACAAGAGAAGATTCTAGAGGATATACACTAGAGATTTCCATAACAAGATTTGGAAGATTTACATTTATCTATTACTCTAACATGGGATAGTTGACTCTTTTTTTTCTTACTAGTTATAGGTGGTTAATTAAAAGAAAGAATCGACTGATTTATTTTACTTATTCGAAAAAACCTATAGTATGGAAAATAATAAAAGTTTAAGATTATTGTCTTTGTTTTGATAAAAAGGTGGAAGCTAATTCTTTGACCGCAATGTCAAAACTATTTTGGTAGCTAGGACTAGGATCGATCAGAAAAGGAGAGAAAAATGAATTTACTGGAGACAGATAAGATGTGCTTTAAGACGTTCAACAAATAAAAAGATGTACTTTAATAACTGGCAAAATATCTCAAAATTCTTAATAAGTATTTTGAACAATGTTAATTATTGTTCTCTTTCTAGTTTTCTACCTGTATTTTCATTGGTAGAAAAGATCATCATATATATATATATCATCAGTTGGTGAAAATGAAGGTATAACATAGATCTTAATCATGTTTTATTAATGTTTCCAATCTACTATCCGTACTATCCTACACAATCTCTTTTTTCTTACCTTTCTGTAATTCTATGTTATTTCTAAAGTTAGTATTATGAAAGGAAATGGATCGTTAACCAAGGTATACTTATATATACATTTGTATATACAATTATATTATAGATTTCAGTTTTCGTGTATATTCTTTGTCTTGGTATCGAATTTCGTATTCCCAAATTATCTATATGATCAGTGACAGTGATCACTAACCCTATTGTCTCTATGGATCGTTAACCAAGGTATACTTTATATACATTTATATAAAACAATTATATCATAGTTTTCAATTTGCGTATATATTCTTTGTCTTATTAACAAATTTCGTATTCCCAAATCATCTATATGATCAGTGATCACTATAACCTTGTAGTCTCCATCTCCATTGGATTAAAGCTTAACGTTATATTTAGAACATATCAACATTATGTAATTTAATTAATATTTTCTTTTCTTGTTATTAGTTATTACGTAACGGAAAATAAAACTTTGTTTTTCCTTGGAAATTTGGAAGGGTATGGAGATTGTCATCTAAATGACCTATCTGTGAAACAGTCGAAGACCGGAAAATTGATTCAGAACAAACCAGAGTGGGAAGTGAGAGTAACAAACCCTTGCAAATGCAAATTCCAATACACAAAGTTGTCATGTGTCGGTTTCCAATCGGTTACACCCGTCGCTACCTCGTTGTTGTCGAAATCCGGTGACTTGTGTCTCCTCAACGCCGGTAAATTCATCTTTCCTCACGTGGACTTCGTTTTCAAATACGTTTGGGACACGAGCTTCGACCTCAAGGTTATCGACGGCGTAATCGTTTGCCCTTAAATTTTCTAGGCGAATTGTTTCGGTTTAATTCGGTTTTGGTTCATGTTAGGTAGATCACATGAAACAGATGATATTTACTCAAATGCTGTCCCAAACATTAGCTTAAGGATTAATAAAGATGTTTACTTCAGTATTATTCACATTATGTTGACCAAATGAAAAATACAAAGCTTGACCATATATAATAAATTTGGTCATAAAATAATTTGATGTTAAATGTCTGCTTTAAGTGATAGAAAAAGATAAAATATAGGAAAATCGTGATTTTTACAAATTATATGAGAGAAATAAATAAAAAATAATGAAAATATATTTTTAAAAAAATGGCTACATGACAAAAGAATAGAGCACTTACAATTGATTAATTAAAATAATAAATGTTTAAAAACAAAAAAGATATGTATCAACTTGAGAGATTGGCAATTCCTCATAGACTCTTTTTTTCTTTTTCTTTTTTGATAATTAGACTCTTTTTTTCTTTTGTTCACAATTTCCTTAGATTAATTAAACATAGATTCTTGTTAGTTTTTTTTTTTTGTAAAGTATCATAAAAGATAGACCCAATGCCTCCCTAAATATACTAGAATCACAAAACTCATATTTACAACATTTTCCAAAATCTCTAATAGATTATCCAAAGATCAGACAATGGCAACAAACGCCTGCAAATTCCTTTGCCTCGTTCTCTTCTTTGCCTTTGTCACCCAAATAGATTAATGTTTATATTAATCTAATAGATTATTCATATTATTTTCACCTAATTTTGTTAATTAAATTTCAATAAAAAAAAGAATAATATTTTCTGGGTATAATTAATGTTTATATTAAGTGTTAAAAATTAATATTTCGGATTTTAAATTTTACTTTTTTAGATTTGGGATTTTAATTTTACTTTTAGGATTGAAATTTATATTATATTATTAACTTATTATTGAATTATACATTAATTTCTTAGTCTCATACTAAGTAATGAAGTAAATACGCTGCGAAATGGTGTTGGAAAATTGTGATTTTTACAAATTATATGTGAGAAATAAATAAAAATAATTAAAATATCATTAAAAAAGGGTCACATTACAAAAGAATAGAGCACTTAAAATTGATTAATTAAAAATAATCAATGTTTAAAAGCAAAAGATATGTATCAACTTGAGAGATAACATGTGGCAATTTCTCATAGATTCTTTTATTTTATTTTTCACAATTTCCTTAGATTAATTAAACATAGATTATTATTATTAGATTTTTAAAAAAAAGATAGACCCAATGCCTCCCTATAAATATTAGAATCACAATTGAAACTCATATTTACAACATTTTCTAAAATCTCTAATAGATTATCCAAAGATCAGACAATGGCAACAAACGCTTGCAAATTCCTTTACCTCGTTCTCTTAGTTGCCTTTGTCACCCAAGGTATATGTTATATACATATCAATGAATCTTTTATTCAAATTATTTTCACCTAATTTTGTTAATTATAAACAATAATTTTATTTTTCTTTGGAATAAGGGTATGGGGATGATTTTTATTCTCTCAAGAGCCTATTTGTGAGACAATGGAAAACCGGAAAAATGGTTAATAACAAACCGGAGTGGGAAGTGAAAGTGCTGAATTCTAGTCCCTGCTATTTCACTGATACAAAGTTGTCTTGTGTCGGTTTCCAATCGGACACACCCATCGACAGTAAGGTGATATCAAAATCCGGTGACACGTGTCTCCTCGCCAACGGTGACGCTATCCATGATTTCAGTTTCAAATACGTATGGGATACAAGCTTCGACCTCAAGGTCATCGACGGCCAAATCGCTTGCTCTTAAACTCGAAATGATCTGCTCTTGCTTCATGCATGTTATTTTAGTTACTTTGGCATATGTAGTTGATGAATTTTTTTCTTTACAAAAACTTGTCCATTTCATTTGCTTGACATAAATAAAGATTAATAAGTTTTTGTCGAAAAACAAATTTGCTATTTAATTGCATGAGATGAAAAAGAACATTGCATGCAGTGTATTTCACTTTTTTTTTTCAATCACAAGTTGGAGACTGAAGAAAACAAAATGAACCAGAAATTGATTATAACCAAGAATTATAACCGGGTAATAAAACTTGAGAAATCAGATGGGTTTTTGGATATTAGATTCCAAATACTATAGATGCAAACACACGAACGTTATGTGATCATCTTCATGTTAGCTAAGAGAGAGAGAACACCTCCCAATAGTGTAAAAACTCATTTGAGAAGAAAATCAATTCTTACAGAAAAGATTAGTAGTAGATTAATGGGTTAATATTTAAGAAAATAAATATTTAAAACGGTTTAAATCAAAGAAATAAGAAATTCACTATTTTGGGTTTAATTTTTATAATAAGTGTTAAAAATTAATGTTTTGGAGCTGGGCTTTAATATTCCTTTTTTCGTCTAAATTATGTTTCTCTATTTTTGTGAAACCAAGAAACGTATCTAGATAATTAAGGCAGCAGGAGATGATAAAACATATGCGATGGATATATAAACTCATCTCTCGTTCTCCATCACTAAAAAAACACTAATAACAATACCAATGGCGTTTGCTCTTAAATGTTTTGTTGTTTTTGTTCTTCTCTCTATGGTTTCTCAAGGTAATGTAATCGAAACTCGAACAACCTTTTAGTATGTTGTTTCATGCCTTTTGGTGAATAATCTCAATTTTCAATCATCATCTATTCATCTTGGAGTGTCTAATCCATTTTCAATTAGAAGACAGTTTGATCTTTGAATTATATATGAATATATAATCCGCTCAAACTAATTTTTCTACCAAATTTTGTTTGATCGATTTATTTTCCTTTCATTTTGATTTTTTTTTTGTTCGGATACCAATTATAAAGGATAGCCATGCATCAATGTTATTATCTTCGTAAGTTACAAAACTAATAAAAAGGAGAATAATGAAACAATAACCGACAGGACTGTGCCACTGCACTTTTGGTAAGATCCGGATCGGAGCGGTGAGGACAGGGAGAGAAATCGCTGGACAGCCGGAGTGGAAAGTGACGGTAACCAACACGTGCAATTGTTTTCAGAAGCACGTGACTCTGTCTTGCGGAGGGTTTGTTCCTGCGAAGCCTGTCAAGCCATCGCTGCTTCAGCCACAAGGAAACACGTGTCTTCTGATTAAAGGAGCATCTTTGCCAGCTGGCGCCACCGCTCAGTTCACTTACGCCGGTCAGCCTTACATCTTCAGACCCGTTGGTTCCATGGTCGACCCAAGTTGCAAGAATTGATTTTTTTTTTTGCTGTTACAGCTTCTTTAAAACATTTGTGGGTAAGGTCGTTATCAGATTTCTTGTAACTCAAGGAAGAAGACGTTTTAATTTCTTATTCTCCAAGAAACTGAATTATGACTCCTTGTGTGAAACAGAAATGTTAGAAGTTTAATTAAGCATGATTAACAGAGGAATTACGTTTGATATCATTTCATTTTCTTCCTCATCCTGTCATCCACGTCCTCTTCCTCTTCGTCTTCAGAATCATCTCCAGTTCTATTGGCTTCATGAGCTTCAACTTCTGCGTCCTCTTTTTTCTTCGTCACATCTTTGATCATCTTTACTTTGCCCCCTCGCGTTCTTCGTTGTCTTCAATCTTAATTCATCATCTTCATAGGCTCATAGCCTTCGCTTGGTTCTTTATTCTCGTCTTTAACTTTCTTCAAAGAATGGACTGTAGTGATTGTTAAACCAGTTGGTCAATGTATGATCAGTGAAATTATACTCACTCTTTGTGAAACAAAAATAAAACCTTAAAACGACACTCTTTATGAAACGGAGGGAGTATTAAGCTTTTTCAGGATTGTGTGAATTCATATCTTGATTGAATTTAATTTAGCTTTTAGTGAAGGAAAAATGTATGCTATACTTAGAAACACAAATTTTAATATTTACAAAAAAAATTAATATGACTTTTTGCTTAAATATCCTCAAATTTTTACTAATCATCCACTAAATTAGTCACCCTACGTAATTCTCCAAATTTTACTTAAATCATTTAAATCTTTGAAATCCTTTTATATTCATAAAATTAGAATATATCCAAATAAATACTAATGATATATTCAATATTGTTTCTTCTTTCCTATTCTTCTTTTGTTAAGTAGGATATTTTGTTTATATATATTCTTATGAAATAAAGAATCGTATCTATATATTAATTAAGGCAGCAAGAGATAATCAATGAATATAAATTAGAGACAGGCTTCTTATTATCTGTCTAACTAAAGACACAAACAATGGCGTTTGCTCTTAAATATTTTGTTGTTATTTTTCTTTTCTCTATGGTTTCTCAAGGTAACTTAATCGAATCTCTAACGTTGTGTATGTATACCTGAAGTTTCATGCCTTTCTTTTGCTGCATCTATATAAAATCTCAATTGTCAATCATCAGATTTTGGAGTGTCTCTAATTTCAGTTTTCTATTAAACTCGGTTTGATTTTTCGATTTTTGGATTATTTATGAAAGGTATAATCTGAATGAATCTCTTATATGTAATATATTTTTCGTTTTCTTACAGTAGGATTAAAATACCATTACAAAATGCATCCATGTTTCAATTATTGTTCTTTTACTAACTAATAAAAGGAGAATGAAACAATAACCCACAGGAATGTGCCGCTGCACTTTCGGCGACATCCAGATCGGGGCGGTAAGGACCGGGAGAGAAATCGCCGGACAACCGGAGTGGAAAGTGACTGTAATCAACACGTGCAAGTGTCTTCAGAAGCACGTGACTCTGTCTTGCGGAGGGTTTGCTCCTGTGAAGCGTGTCGAGCCATGGCTACTGCTCCCACAGGGAAACACGTGTCTTCTGATCAAAGGAGAGGCTTTGCCAGCTGGCGCCGATGCTGAGTTCAGTTACGCCGGCGAGCCTTACATTTTCAGACCCATAGGTTCGACCGTCGATCCAAGCTGCAAGAATTTGCTGTTATAAAGCTTCTAGATACATTCTTTCATCCAAAAAAAAAAACCTTCTAAAAATCAGATTATCTGGTTTCTTGTGTTTCAAGTAAACAGAAGTTTTCTTATTGTCCAAGAAACTGAGTTATGATTCCTTTTGTGAAACATGAGTTCCAGACATTAATGTTACAAGATTAAGCATCCAGGGAGGAATAATGAATACTCCTTCCGTTTCGTTTTAGTTGTCGTTTAAAATTTTTTCACGCAAATTAAGAAAGCATTAAATTTTTTGTTTTACTCTTTATTAATATATTTTATAAAAAATTTCATTGGCCAAAACATTAAAACTGTATGGATAAAACTGGAATTTTTACCAAACATTTGCATTGAAAACCTAAAACGACAACTATTATGAAACAAAATTTAAATCCTAAAACGACAACTAAACTGAAACGGAGGACAAAACTAACTTATCGTTAATCATATTTATTACCGATATTGAGTGGCACAAGTGTGACATAAAAACTAAACATTCCGTTTGTGTAAAGTTCAATAGAAAACCTCTCATGAGAAGTATTTGTCTGGAAGTAAATTATAAAGCCATGTTGATGAAAACAGAGAGCACCTTTCAATGAGCAAAGCAACACCAGGAAGCCTAAATAGGTCTTTCATATGCACATTCTAGTTTATATCAGTACAAAGATTCTATAAAATTTGATGCAACTTATGAAATATTTAGCTCATTTTGTGTTTTCGGGGACAGGCAACACATATGGCCCTTTTTGGTTTTAGTTCTCGAGTGACATACGTTACCAGATCCAAATTGGGCCTGCAGCAATTTAGGCCTTATAAGCCTAATTGGTTTGAATTCGTGCACTAGCCGGTAAAAGTCTTTTTTACCGGTGAACATATATATTACGGCTGGGCTTTTAAACCGAACCGAATGTACCGAACCGAAACCGAAGCAAAAAAAATCGAATCGAACCGAACCGAAAATTTGAAAATAACCGAATGGATACTAAATTTGATAACCAAAATAACCGTAACCGAATCGGTACCGAACCGAAATATTTCGGGTAACCGAATACCCGAAATACAATTATATTTTCGAAATAATTAGTTATTTATTGACCAAATAATCAAAAATACTTGAAAAATCTATAAAAATAGTAAAAATACTCAAAAATAACCGAAAAATATCCAAAAATATTTGAAAATACTCAAAAATAACCGAAATATCCGAAAATATCCTAAACAAAATAACCGAATGGATACTAAATTTTAAAACCGAAAGAACCGGAACCAAACCGAAATTTCAAAATATCCGAATGGATACTAAATTTTAAAACCGAAAGAACCGAAAACCGAATGGACTCAACCGATAACCGAACGGATAACCGAAAGCCCAGACCTAATATATATGCTCGACAAAATAAAAACGCTATCTGTTTTCTTTTTGTTAAAAGGCTTTAAAAACGCAATCTTTTCCGCTCTAAAGTTAAACCAATAATAAGACCATAGTTGACACAATCAAAATGTTTTTATGTTACACACACTGCATTGACTAAATCATACGTTTTTTTTTTTTGAATTTTAATTTTTAACCAAAGGAACATTTATTATGTATTTTTAAGTTGAATTTTACATTTCGCAATCACACCTATTAAGAAAAAGAAATAAAAAAAACTCTAATCATTTAGTTTGTCGGAAAAAAACTCTAATAATTTATGTAGCTAGCTAAGAAACTCTTTAATAATTTAAAAGTTTATGATTTTCCATCTTTCCAGCAAAACAAAACCAAAGACTTTTCTTCGTCTTTCCGAATACAATATTGTTTGCTAATTTGAACAGACAATGTTGTTTTTATATTAAGGAATTTCCGAAACATTATTATTTTAATTTGTGGATTAGGGTTCACTCCACCTATACAGATAGAGTCGTGTCGTGTAGCTTCTCTGGCATTTCCACCAAACCATTTTTTGTACGGAAACATTTCTTCTCCTTCTCACGATCGGTCAATAACTTGCTGCTCATAACAATTTCGATTCCTCTGTTTCATCATTTGAACTTCGATTTAAGGGTTCTTGAATTTTCGAATAAAAATCTCACCTTTAAATGGGAAAGCCAACGGCGAAGAAGAAAAATCCGGAGACGCCAAAAGATGCTTCCGGCGGCGGCGGAGGCAAGTCAGGGAAAACTTACCATCGTTCTACTTCGAGGGCATTTGACGAAGATATGGAGATTTTCATTAGCAGAGCACTTGAGCTCAAAGAAGAAGGTAACAAGTTGTTCCAGAAACGCGACCACGAAGGTGCGATGCTGAGTTTCGACAAAGCCTTGAAGCTCTTGCCTAAGGATCATATCGATGTAGCTTATCTAAGAACGAGTATGGCTTCTTGTTATATGCAGATGGGATTAGGTGAGTATCCGAATGCGATTAGCGAATGTAATTTGGCTCTTGAAGCTTCTCCTAGGTACAGTAAGGCTTTAGTGAGACGTTCTCGGTGTTACGAGGCTTTGAATAAGTTAGATTACGCGTTTAGGGATGCTCGTATTGTTTTGAATATGGAGCCGGAAAATGTGTCTGCGAATGAAATCTTTGATAGGGTGAAGAAGGTGTTGGTGGATAAAGGTGTTGATGTGGATGAAATGGAGAAGAACTTTGTTGATGTGCAGCCTGTTGGCGCTGCTCGTTTGAAGAAGATTGTTAAGGAGAGGTTGAGGAAGAATAAGAAGAAGAAGAAGAGTGGTGGGAAGGATGAGGAACTGAAGAGCAACAACAGAGGTGTTGTTGAGAGTCCAAAGGTTGTTGTTGACAAGGGAGAAGAAGCAGAGAGCAGAAATAAGCTGAAGGAGGAAAAGAGCGATAAGTCTGAGATTGAGGGGAAGAGTGGTGGCAGTAGAGAAGATAAGAAAACAAGTTTCAAGGGTGATAAAGGACAGAAAAAGAAAAGTGGTGGTAAGAAGGCAGGAGAAGAGAGGAAGGTGGAGGATAAGGTCGTTGTTATGGACAAAGAGGTCATTGCTTCCGAGATTGTTGAAGGAGGAGGAAGCACAAAAGGAGGGGCAACTGTTACTAGGACTGTCAAGTTGGTGCATGGAGATGATATAAGGTGGGCACAATTGCCGCTGGATTCTACTGTTAGACTTGTAAGAGATGTAATCAGGGATCGGTTTCCTGCTTTAAGGGGTTTCCTCATTAAATATAGGGATACAGAAGGTGACTTGGTAACCATTACCACAACAGATGAGCTGAGGCTAGCTGCTTCTACTCATGATAAACTTGGTTCCCTTAGATTATATATAGCAGAAGTTAACCCCGACCAAGAACCAACCTATGATGGCATGAGCAATACTGAATCAACTGACAAGGTTGCCAAGAGATTGAGCAGCCTTGCGGACAATGGAAGTGTAGGAGAATACTTGGAATCTGACAAAGCATCTGCGTGCTTTGAAAACTGGATTTTGCAGTTTGCGCAATTGTTCAAGAACCATGTTGGGTTTGATTCTGATTCGTACTTGGACCTTCATGATCTTGGGATGAAGCTATATACGGAAGCAATGGAGGATGCTGTCACTGGTGAAGATGCGCAGGAACTCTTTGAAATCGCTGCTGATAAGTTCCAAGAAATGGGTGCACTAGCTTTGTTTAACTGGGGTAACGTTCACATGTCCAAGGCAAGGAAGCAGGTCTGTTTACCCGAGGATGCCTCGAGAGAAGCTATTATAGAAGCAGTTGAGGCTGCATTTGTGTGGACACGGAACGAGTACAACAAAGCTGCAGAGAAATATGAAGAAGCGATTAAGGTTAAACCTGATTTTTACGAAGCTCTTCTAGCACTTGGGCAAGAGCAGTTTGAACAGGCAAAGCTTTGCTGGTATCATGCACTCAAAAGCAAGGTAGACCTAGAAAGTGAGGTTTCCCAAGAGGTCCTGAAGCTCTATAACAAAGCTGAAGATAGTATGGAGAGGGGTATGCAGATCTGGGAAGAGATGGAAGAATGTCGTCTAAATGGAATCTCCAAGTTAGATAAACATAAAAATATGCTGCGGAAGTTGGAGTTGGATGAATTGTTTAGCGAAGCTTCAGAAGAAGAAACTGTGGAGCAGACAGCTAATATGAGTTCTCAGATTAACCTCTTGTGGGGTTCGTTGTTATATGAACGGTCTATTGTGGAGTACAAGCTCGGGCTACCAACATGGGATGAATGTTTAGAGGTTGCAGTGGAGAAATTTGAACTAGCTGGAGCTTCTGCAACTGATATAGCTGTGATGATAAAGAATCATTGTTCAAGCGAGAGTGCACTTGAAGGTAATCAATTCTTGGCAAGAATACCAAACTCTGGAGAAGTTACAGCCCAATGGTTTTCTGTTAATTTTCTTTTTGCTATGCTGATATGGGTGTGAAATAACAATCTTGTAACAACCGCAGGTATGGGATTCAAGATTGATGAAATAGTACAGGCATGGAATGAGATGTATGATGCCAAGAGATGGCAGATGGGTGTCCCATCTTTCCGGCTAGAACCGATGTTCCGCAGACGAGCTCCGAAACTGCATGATATCTTAGAGAATGTATTTTCAGGGCCTGCTTGACGAAATATTCTTCTCATATACACATAAAAATATCATTTTGTGTATCACTAGGTAAGTAGTCACTCATTTCCGGTTCACATAATCCTGAAAATATGGCAGTCTATAATAATAGTCTTGGGTTGTTAGATTGTCATTGGTTGAATGCTATCATTCTTGTCATGGAGCATGAATTAGGGATATTAGTTAGATTTATTTCCTTTGAGGTAAAACCATTTGATGAGATTGCTTGCCTCGGTCTCATAGATTTCCCTAGAATTGCGATAAGTTATTTTATCCTTTGCAATTCTGTATTTGTCCAGTTTTTAATGGCTCTTGTTTGATGGGAAGCTAATCTTTTGTATATACTATTATTGCAGGCACTTTGTTTATTTGGGAGTGGTGTGCATTATTTGTCCTCTCTATTGGTATGGGTTTTGTCATTTTTCCAAAGGAATATTTTTTTGGGATATACTCTTGGCCTCTGCGGTTTTGATGTGGTGGCTGAGAATGATTGGGATTCCGTGCAGAGAAGAAGGTTAGATGGTGCTAATTCTCTTCTCTTCAGATTGATACAAAATATTGCTTATTTGTTGGTCTTTCTTTTGTTTGGTTTTATACCATAGCTCTGTAATCTTTGTTATTTATTGTTAAGTTGGTTTAGTTTCTATTAAATTCCTGATTGTTGTGTGATTGTCTGCGTCATTTTAAAGAAATTCAGACTCTTTTTCATTCCTTCATAAAGCTAATACTGTACAGTACATTTTGACCTAATCTTTAAAACTCAATATACAAACGATTTCATGAGCATTTCTCTCTCTCGATTTCGATCTATAGGTTAAAGAGCTTTTCTTTGACTTCGTAGTCTCACCTCCTTAACAACTAAAAATCGAGATTCACTTGTATAGGAGGACAAGAATTAGGAAACAGGAAGCAACAATCTCTTTAAAATTATAGAAAAGTTTTGTCACATAATGATATCGTTTCATTCTGCAAGAAGAGAAATTTGTGTCGAGAAAGAACAAAAGATTGATTTTAATAGCTCAATTACCATTTACCATTATTAGATAACAAAAAAAAAAGGTTCATAGGCCCATCAAACTATACACACATTTATTCAGATTTCTTTCTTACAAAGCAAGCGTGGAGTAATCATCGATCTCTGGGCTCACTCGTATGAACCCAAGAGCCCCAAAAAATAGTCTTCGAGTTTCATCGGTAAGCCCCAAAGAGAACGTTGTTCTTCACGATCAAGAACAGTTCTTAGAACCATTCCACCCATCTGAGAAGTACCGAGACAGTCCCTTGGCAATTGGCTGTGCCATGTCCCTCTCTCTTCGATGCAGAACCCGCAAAAACTCATCCACACTCAAATTCCCATCTCGATTTGAGTCAAACACATGAAACGCAATCTCTATCACATTGTCTGACAATGTTACTCCACATACCTGAGAGGCTGCTCGTTTGAAATCTCTCATTGTAAGTAAACCATTAGCTTTGCCATAAGCAAAAAGCGCTAGAGAAAATGGTCCAAGTTTACTACGTAGCTCATCAAACTGTTTAAATTCCTTCAGTGAGATACGCATGTCCCGGAGATGCGGGTGTTCAGTCAAACTCTCCACTCGATCAAGCAGCTTGCTCAAATGGCTTGCATCAGCCGCTGCCACCATCGACAATGCAAAATCTTTGGCTGATATACTTCCTCTTTGTTTATAGTCATAATGTCCAAACTCCAGCCTCAGCATCTATAAGATCATTCTCTTTCAGCCTGAGCATCTAGGAGTCACATGAGGAAGGAGATATATCAATGGGTTTAAGAGTTACTTACCTCTTCAGTTAGATCTTTCATAAACTTAGTGAATTTATCGTGTTTGAGTTTTTGACTGCCATCTTTTCCAAAGAAGTATTCTACCAAGCCTCCATCCTCAACAGAGCCAGTCATATGTAATCCTGTTCGAAGGCCATCTCTGTGGCCAACTCCTTGTCGATGCTGAGATCGCATCAGACTCATCACAGTCTTAAACTCTTCTTTGTCAATTTCCCTAAAATAATCATTCATCAGAACCATCTAGAGGAAATATAAGTTACAAAGGATAGAAGCACTGACCAGATTTTACATGATTCAGCGTAAACTCAAAAAGAGACTCCACTGATTCCCACAACCCGTCCGTTTGGAGGATCACAATATGGGAATACGGACCAGAAAAAAAGTTACCAAAAGCATGATTTATCTATGTACATATTTGAACGACTACTCACCCGTTGTTGTCAGTATCGAACATTTTGAAAGCCACAGCGAAGCTTGATTCAGGAATGCTGAGTAATGTCACAAAGAATATATACCTGTTCCCAAACAAAAGTACCAACTACTTCAATATTCCAAAAGAAGAAAATATAAAAGGCGGATAGTAAGTAATGATTTGGTTTCAGTAACTCACTCTTTGAAGGATATAAGGCCATCATTATCAACATCAAACAGCATGAAGAATTCGGAAGGAGAGCATCTAAGTTCACCGGGATTTCTCTCTCCAGTCAAATATCCTTCTCTTACTAGATGAGACTCTGATGGAGGAAACACCGGGACAATTGCCCTCATCAAATCTGCTGGTTTCATTAGTATTTCTCCTTTATCTGTTCGAATAGATGCAAAGTACTCGAAAACCTATACCATTAAGAACAAAGCAAATAAATTACTTGAAAAAGGCTATGAACAAATCTTATCAACAAGATCTAAACAGAAACAGAGAATTCACAATCAATCAATTACAACCATCGAGATACAAAGCTTAAGGAAAACAAAGAATCCTTAGTTTGCAAATGCACCTTTTCGGGAGGACTTTGTAATCTCAAACGTTTCTCGTAGTTGAAGAAGATCTTCCTTCTATAAGCATCTGTTTTCAAACCCAACCAAATTTAGTTCATTTGAGAGAAAAAAATAAAAAATCAATGCAATAAAAACAGAAGAAGGATCATCGAACCTCCGAAGATGAATCCAGAGCTGTAACCAGGCAACGACAATTTCGGAAGAAACGATCTCGGTTTCAGATCGCCGACTTTTACACCACAAACAGAAGGCGATGAACTATCAGCGAATGACAATAAATTACTCCCACCAAACAAACCAGAGATCGAATCAGAAGAACCAGAGGACCAATAGAGAAACCCTAAGGCGGATCCAGCTGTAATCCCTGAAATCCATTTGGCAAGAGAACCGCCAGAGACGGTACGCTTCAACGGATCGGCGCCGGAAAGAAGAGACGCAGAAGGAGAAGATTCTGGTAAGGAAGATGAGCTGCCGTGGATCCTGAGTCGTTGGATGAGAAGGAAGGATCGGTCAACGGACGGTAGAGATGATACTGATCTGTAGTGAGATAAGGCGGGCATAATGAATGATCCTCTCTCTCTTATTTTTCGCAGATTCTTTTTGACAACTAACCTTCCTTAAAGGTTTATTTATAAAAGGATTTATCCAACCAACGACGAAAAACGCGTTTGTTTCTGTTTACTGTTGTATCCAAACACGACATCGTTTTAAAGATTTGAATCCTTTAAATTCGGAACCTTATCTTTTTAGATTGCCTCTATATAACAAGTCAAATTTTAGACTCATAAAAATATAAAAATCTAAATTTCGTATCTCATTTCTTGGTGAAAAGCTGATCAGAACAAAATTTCCTTTTTGCCTAATGGCTAAATACTATTTCTCTCCCTAGAAACAGAGCCTGAGACATAATATAATAGTCTTCATTGCTCAAAGGGATGTTTCATAATGGTGGGGAATCGATCTATCCATCGAGAGTATCCTGTTCCATAATCATACAAGCACATTCAGAGGAAGACGAAAACTTCTTGTGTTAATCGATTTTGAGAATAAAGAAGCAGAGGAAAATAAAGAGAGTGTGAAATGAGAGAGAGGTTGAAACCAAACCTGCTGTTATGATTTCAAGAAGATCCGCGGTATCAGACATATCCTGCAATGTTATGCGGCAGTTAACTAACAAGCAATTCTCTCTACCAAGAAAATGAAATTTGAACAAGGACAAGACACTCTATGACAAGTCACATGATTATTATACCTGGCCACATGAGGACAAGCTTCTTGTAATGAGGCGGGCCAAACTATCCATGGAGCTACTGTTGAAATTAGGTTGCTTGAGTAAAGCATCTTCTGATGTGAAATCGAAGATCAGAGAGCAGATGCTTGCAGCCGTCATTACTACTGAATGGTCATTACTCCGATCTGTGACAAAACGAACAAAGAAATTAACATATTAAACATGGTCTTCGATATTTGTCAAGAAATTAGCAGGCAGATCAGCAGCAGCAATAAAAATCATTTTACCTGCCCAATATGCCAAAGCTTTCAATAGACTGGAAAATGTATAAATTTCTGACATCAAGCTTATTTGTTCCCTCTGTTCTCAACATTTAAACATGTAGCCATTATAGGGAATATCAATTGGTAAAATGTAATCAGGTCATATCTTAGGGAAGAGAGTACCTTCAAAAGAATATTCATGATTGTATCACAAGCCAAGAATACGCTTCCATCCTCATCAACACTCTCAGCAGAGCGCTCAATCAATTTTATTAGGCATTCAACAACCTGTATTTAAAAATCAGACAACTCCGTATAAGATTATATACATGATAAACACCCACTTGAAACACATTTTGGTCAAGCATACTGAGAGATAAGGGAAAGCTGTAAATCAGATTTGTTCAAACATAATGTCATCCGTATAAGAAGCTATAAACCCGAGTAACTCACAGCTATATCGCCTCTTGAATAGGCCAAGAGTTTACATCCTTCTGCCTTCATTGTTATTTGGCAAAGCATTGGGAGCAAGAAGCAAGTAGACAAAAACGGGCTGTCAAAACAAAAAAGTTCAGACAAAGTTATCCTGGGAGGCATGACCCAAACAAGCTTTGTAAAAGAACCAAATCTTCAAGGCAGGATGCTTCCAAACCTGGATTCATCTTCGCCCTCCACTGAAAGCATATAATCCAGAACATCCTGGACCTGCTCTTTGCACGCAACAGGAGTTTCAGCAAGATAGCTGTTGAAAACACAAAAAAAAAAGTTCAGTAGCTGCCAAAGTGGTAAGGATACAATCCATGTCCTTCAATAAGGAGTATTAGTTTACACAAATTTTAATGATAAATGAAGATTACTTTAAACACAATCTGGTATACATTTTAAACAAAAATAAACAGAACGAGAGATTTAAGAAGAAACAAAAAGAGTGATTATCTGTACCTTCCAATCACTCGCACAGATGCAAGAAGGTCATTTCCTTTCTTAATTCCATGTTCCTGTATGAAACAGAATTAACATGAAAAATGAATAACATTTTCAACACAATAAGACACTCCTAAAGAGTTTGATGTTATCAAATATGTATAGTACCTTTGCATCTCTGAGATATTCGAGCACCGCTCCTACTGTCTCATTAAGTATTTTAATCACCTTTTGGAAGACAGCTTCGTCAGTTAGAGTCCCTGCAAAGATCAATACGTAAATTCCAATTCTTTCATGAAGGGAAAAGGCTGACATGCATTATGCCAAGCGTAAATATTTATACACTGTTTTTATCAGCGGAGTTAATAGATATTTGAGTAATAACAACTAAAAGCTCTTATGATGTTCATATAATACTGATTTTAGAAATAACATAGAATAACAGAAAGGTGAAAGATAAGGGATCGAATAGGCTAGTACTGACTACTGATAGTAGATTGGAAACAGTAATAAAACATGATTAAGGTCTATGTTATACCTTCATTTTCACCAGCAGATGATATATATTTGATGATCTTTTCTACCAGTGAAAACATGATGGGTAGATACCGTTGCTTTAAGAGAATGTCTTCAGCAGTTGAATTATTCTTAGGAGCTTCATACTTCTTGTAAGCGAGATCATTTAACAATACAGAAATCTCAACATGTGATGACTCTAATACCAACAGAAGGCACCTACAAAAGAATTCAGAATGATGTTAATCTTTATGTCACTATGAAAATGTAGGTTAAGTGAGAGTGTAATACAAAGATGTTTTATTTACCTATCAGCTGGAAGATCAACATTGGGTAATTTTACCCCGCCGATAAGCCACTTTTCACCCAATATTGACATCATATTCTCAGCCAGAATCAACGCATGGAACTTTTCGGAAGGTGCTACACATGAACAAGACAGGTTTCTTAAGTATCTTGAAAGCTTCATGTCTGTGCACTGTATCAATAGCATATGGCCCCAACTAATCTACAAGTCTGTACTTTTTGTGAAGTACAGATCATGGATACTATTCTTTCATATGTGAAAACAAGAGAAGATTGTTGTCATTTAACAAGTAGATGAAATTAAGGGCTGGCAAGAAAAGAATGCCATAAATGGGTATGCCATTTCCAGTGTCCCAAACAAACTACTCTTTTAACTCACCCACACGGTTCTGCAGAATTGCCACAATACCCGTGCGCATATAGTCTGCCCAATTGTTGTCTGGCATGGAACGAAGAGGTTCATGAAGAAGTGCCTAGGCATAAAGAAATTATATAAGAGACCTATAAAAAAAGATAAGCACACAAAACAAAGATATAGAGCTTCTACAATGGAAATATAACATGCATACGAAATAACATCAGACAATGAAATACCAGTTATCAGCGTGACAACTTTAAATTTCCCAATTGTAATTGATAGAAAATTCAAAAATTTAGCTGCCTTAAATTCACATATATCATGCTAGTACCTACAGCTACTTTTCAGTAGGGCGTTAAGAAGAGAAAACTCACAGAATACTCAGACGAGAAGACTGCAGACAGTAGATGGAGTGCTTCAAACTTCAGGGCATTATGCAACACCGCAAACTGCCGTGCAACAGCAGCAACCTGAATAAAGAATAACAATACGTTTGGAGTCCAACTGCAGCACTGCAGCTTCAGTAGTTATTGGAAAACGAAAACCAAAATAACCAAATAAGTAGACTCACCACCAAAGACAGTTCTAAGAAGCATTCAATATTCATGCTCTCGCCAGAAAGCTTACTAACCAATAATTGCAGAATCTTTATAGCAACCTCCATGGCATGTGAACCTGAATAACACGCCTCACATTAGCTCTCAGTGAGAAACTATTATCAAATCCATCTACCTCAACATGGCATGTTTTCTTTGACACCGAACATAATCAATCCCCCCATCAGAAACTTTGCGTACACTGGAATCTAACGTGCATTATATATACACAACAAAACAATGTAAAACAAATGAATAAGAATTACCATCAGGTAAATCAGACATTTGTGGAGCTATCACTCTCAAGCCTCCAGAGTTAATCAAAGTCATGACACCATCTTCAGAAGCCGTGGACACCAAATACAGAAGCTCATAGCAATCTTCGAGCATGTTTGTAGTTATTCTGAAATTCCAAAAGCCAATTTCCTAACTTTAGGCAATCATACTGTGCAAAAGTGAAAAAGACACAGAAGCAAAGCTTGAGAAAAAACTTCATGGAAAATCACAGATGCAAGAATCAGGTGATCTAACATACCCTTTGGACATTATTTCGAGAATAAGGGGAATTCTGGAGACCATATCTACTGAAGAAGCTATCTCTGGAACACGGCAGAGTGCAGCAAGAACAGTAACAGATAGCTGCAGATACACATCACGATTATCAACTCCATCGCCACTGCCAGTACCTGCCAAACAAAAATATCGAAACCAGTCAGAGCAGCAAACTTTAGTAGCTCAACAAAAAATTCACAGTTTGTAGAAACCCCAAAATTGGTATTAGTAAATACTGAGACAAAGATCAATAATTCGGGGTTTTGTTTACCGGTTCGGAAAAGACGGTCGAGAAAGTGAGTACCAACGGCTTCGTAGACCTTCTTGAGGGAAACGATGTCATCGTTCTTACAGAATTTGGTAACGAGTAGTAGACCAGCGAGCCTCTGCTCGTCTCGCTCTCCTTTCAATAGCTTAAGGCAATCGTCAAGCGACGGAGATCGTTCCTCCTGTGCTGCTGCCATAATCACCCAACTCAAAGAGTAACAAAAGTAGACGAAGTCGAGAGACAGCCAAAAGAAATTAAAACAAAAGCCGTTCGTTCGAGAAGCTCAAGGAAGAAGAAAGAAGTCATTTATAATTTGGGCCAATACCAATGGGCTTTGTTAATGTTACAAGTGAAAACATTTAAAATTAACGAAATTGACCTAACCACCCCCACAAAAAAGTCAAACCAAATTTATAATTAGTACATTTCAAGCTAGTTTAATTATGATAAATATTTTGCTTGATACATTACAGACCAACATATTGACACTTTACAAGAAAAAGCCCACACCTGATTTAAGCGTTCGTTACAAGCCGCAAACCAACAAAACAGATAACTTCCAAATACTACTAACTAAGCGGGGCGATACAAACAACAATTCGGACTCCAGAATCCGGTTTCATAGGCTAACCGGTATCACCTATACAAATCACACTCTGTACGAGCATACAACCTGATGGGTTTCTTGAATTCACATGGCAAAGAACCATCCTCTAGTTAGCTGCTATGTCACCTATGATTTCCCGGTCCTGAGTTTGGTTACAAAAGAAGATCTTGACCGGGTTGGTTTAATGAAATTGCGCAATGCGAAAAAGAGAACAGCTCTTGTTTTACCGTTTACGTTTGTTCTTGGTGAGAGTAGATGACGTGGAAGAGTTGCTGTTCCAGTTTCTTTTCCTCTGGTTGATGAACCAATTGTTGATCTGTTTCAACTGCAAACCGGTTTCTTGAACCAGTTTTGCCTTATCTTCTTCCTGCAATTCCAAAACCAAATCAAGAATCAAAACTTGCTTTTGACAATGTCGTAACATAATTTCTCGGCCAAGGTTTTTACAGTTGGGTATGGCCATTTCGAGTGAGTTCGCCACCACTCTTTGAGTACAGAAGTCGTATCTCCCGGCAACTTTCCCGCCCTTCTCTTCCTCATTATCTCTTCTCTTATGTCCACAATCTTCTCTTTGAAACCCTATAGGGAAAAGAAGAAAAAAACTGAGCAACATGATTTCACAGTGTTAAGTTTGATGTAATATTGCAGCTTGATCGAGCAATTACCTGTTTAAGCTCATGCTTCAGTTCTTTCTTCACACGTTCCATCAGAGACCTCTCTCTCTCGGTTGGAACAAGAGGACCAAACCCCATCAAGCAATCTGAACCGTCCAAACTTCCATCATACATGTTAACCTCGCTCTCTACTTGATTATCATCTTCATCTTCCGACATTGTCTTACCATTACTTTCACTTGGAGAAACTCCTACAAGCCAGATAGAAGACAAAGCCATAAAATCAAGACACAAATAAAGGAAGAAGACAACAGAAAAAAGAAAAAAAGATTTGGGATGTTACCCGTTAAGGATTGCAGTGATTGCTCGATCTCCCAACAAGCCGTAATGGCTTCCATTGCATGGACACAAACGTGGTGTTGGAGTTGTTCTTTAAATGAACATAACAAGACAACATAATGTGACTGCAACATCATAATCAAAGGTAAGATTCCAATCCACAAGACATACAAACAGAAAGTTACAAAAAAAGGATTATGTTTTCTTTCTCTTGGACAAAAATCAAAAGACATGCAAAGCCCTTTTTAGTAAGAAGCTGAGAAAGTAACAAACTATTAGCCATCAAGAAAAAAGCTTTATCTAACAAATACAAGTTAACCAAAAAAGTAGAAGCAAAGATCACATCAATTTCAAGACTCGAGAAGCAGGAACAATGAACAACACAAAAATGTGAATTTGCTACTCAGATAATAAAGAGAAATCAATGGCTGAATCGTTCACAGTTCATAACATTCAAAGTTTGCCTGAACCCTATGCAAAATTGGAAGTGAAACATACCATGAAATGATCAAGTTCCTTGTTGTCCACAACCACACCAAGAGTGGAGTATTTCGCGGCGACGGTATGCAACTGGCTGAGCTGAGCATCGATCCTCGGAATCTGGTCAACAGGAGTCGCAACCCGAAGGCAAGCCACGTGAGCCGCAAGAAGCTGCTCATACATCGGATGTCTCAAAATCGCCGCCTTATAGCTAGCGCTCCGCCAATCTTCACCTCCAACAACACCAAGTATCGTTTCACCATCGGCGTTGACTCCGTCGATAACTTCAGAACGAACTTCTCCAGTATTTTGCATCTCCGTATGAAAGGAGAGCCACCGTGGGTTTGTATCAGCAACGGAATTGTCTCCGTTGCGGTGCGGAGGAGCGAGATCGGAATCCGCAGTGGTTATTGTGCTAGGGAGGTTGAGGAAGCTGGCGGTGACAAGCGAAGGTGTTTCAGAGAAGTGACGCTGCGACGGCGGTTGCTGTGATTGATCGGCGAAGTGTCGGAGAGGAAGGTCTTCTTGTGGAGGAAGGAGGTGGGAGCTGTTAAACGACATTGTTTTCCTGCGTTTTGGGGATCGGAGAAGAGAGATATCTGTTTTTCTCTTTCCCCTAGTTATCTCTCTGAAGACCAAGTGTGTTTTTTAATTAATCTTTTTTTGTTATTTTTTGGACTCTACTTCTATCTCTTTCTTTAATTAATGTCAACAATAATGCTGTAACCAAATTGAAACATAAAAGAACTCAACCAAATACTCCCTCCGTTTTGTTTTAGTTGTCGTTTAAGGTTTTCTAACACAAATTAAAAAAAATATTAAATTTTCTGTTTTACCTTTTATTAATATATCTTATAAATTTTTTTATTGGCCAAAACATTAAAACAATAGAGATAATATTGGAATTTTTACCAAACATTTACATTGAAAACCTAAAACGACAATTATTACGAAACAAAATTTAAGTCTTAAAACGACAACTAAAACGAAACGGAGGGAGTAACAAAAGCAAAATTCTGTAAATCATAAGTTTGGTGAGCAATGATTGGTTACAAATCTTTTGTTATAGATTGTAATTTTCTGTCATGGTAAATTTTATTTAAAATTGATAAAATTTCAAGGATATTTCATTTTTCACTGGGAATTAACTCTTTTGGATATTTTACTTTATATACTTTTTTTTCTTAATTTATCAATAAACAATTAGGAAAAAATGACAAGGGTGATTTTTTACTTAAAATAATGATAAGTATAATCACCATTAAACTCAATTGTGGATATTTCGAAGACCCAATGAATTTTTTTCCTTTTTACATTAAGGAATGTCAATTTTTTTTATCTCTATAAACAATAGACTTGGCCACTTGGGATTCATGAAAAGAACTAAGACAAACAAATATTAGCTGATAACAAGTTGGCATTTTTTCTCAATTTTTTGGGCATTTAAAAACGAATATTTTAATCCATGAACACGCCGACAAGGCGACAACCCACCAATAGCATTACACCTCCAAAATTATATTTTAAAAAATCAAATTAAATAGTAGAAATTAATTTCCAAAGAGAATGATAGATCTCGCTTGTCTTGGATTAGTTGAGCGGAAACTAGGGTTTCAATATAATGGCATTGATTGGTGACAAAACTAAAAGCAGTAGAAAGCTGTACACAAAAATTGTTACCAATCAAAATAACTTTATGAAAAATGTTACACAATAACAACAGTTTTTTTTGTTTTGTTTTTTGGACAAAAACAAAACAAATTAAAACAATTACGGTTAAGGTTAAATACGGTTACGGTTATAACAGTTACGGTTATAACAGTTACGGTTAAATACGGTTACGATTACAATAATTATGGTTAAATACGGTTACGGTTATTTGATGACTACAAGTCTACAATACGGTTAATATCAGAGGCGAAATCTTACGACAAATTTTCATCATTTCGAGCAGTATAACATTACAACATATTTGTTTGAGAATAAGACCATTTTTTATAAAGTAGATTTTTTCATATGCGCTTTCACAAAAAAAGAATAGATTTTTTCATATGCGGTATCATTTACTTTTTTGAAAATCTTAGTCTGAACATTCGATATTTGTTTTTGCAATATATGGAGTTACAATTATATTTTTAAAGTTTTAACTATGCGGTTAATAGTACGGTTAACCATGCGGTTAAATAACGGTTTTGATATGTTTACGGTTAATTAACGGTTACGGTTAATATATATTTTAACCATAACTAATTATTTTTAACGGTTAACGGTTACGGTTTTTAACTATTTTATACGGTTACGGTTGAGAAACGGTCCGGTTACGGTCCGAAATACGGTTACGGTTAGCTTTTAGTCATGTCTACAATCTTCAACTAGGCATGACCAAAAGCTAACCGTAACCGTATTTTGGATCGTAACCGGACCGTTTCTCAACCGTAACTGTATAAAACGGTTCAAAACCATAACCATTCACCGTAAAACTAGATTAGTTACAGTTAAAAAAATATACTAACCGTCACCATTAATATACCGGAAACGTATTAAAACTGTTATTTAACCGTACGATTAACCGTATTATTAACCGCATAATTAAACTTTAAAAATATAATTGTAACTATGTAATTTTTTTTTCTAAACTCTGAATATTATTTATTATTTGTACCGCTATGATGTTTCTAATCAGAGTTAATTTTTAAAATTTGTTCTGTATTGTTTTTTTGTACAGCTTTCGTGTTTTTTTTTCTTTTGTACAGTTTTGCACTATTCTCTAACAGCTAACAGCTTGTTACCAATCAGACCCAATAATAAATGGAAAATAATAAAGAAGAAAAAGTTTGGAACATAAAAGTCTATTAGTTGTCCTACTTTTTCCTCTTAGCAACAATTTCCAGCAAAAGCTTTTAAATCAGTACAAAAAATCATTCAGTGTTTTCTTTTGTTTTTTTTGTTTAAGAATTTGGTACATCGATTAAATAATTATTTAGTTCTGTTTTATTTATTAAAACATTATTTATTATCAACTTAAACACCATTCAACTAATAGTAAAACAATCATCAAAACTAATAAAACACTAATAAAAAAAAAACTAATTAATTTGGAATTTGAAAGTTGCTAACATCATCTATTTTTAAAAAAATACAGTAAAGAACCTAATTTCCACCTTCTTCCTAAAAAATCAAGAAGTAATTGAGCGTTTTACCCCAAAAAAGAAGGAAACAGGAAACAAGAATGTGACGGGAGAGATTCATTACACCTCTTATTACATTCACTTTTCTTAGTTGAAATCTCTAGCTCACCCTTCTTCACTCCACTGTAATGAGATCGCAAATCTTCAGATAGGCCATTTTAGCTAGTTCCGTACAATATCTCGTCCTCGGATGGTGCCATGTTGAGATCAGGGAGGCAGAAGAAACTCCCCTGATTTTGCGAGTCACCCGTTTTGCATGACTTTGATTCCTGTAGCCGCTCGAGTTGTGATATACGAATCAGATCAACAGGTTTCTTGTTCGTGACACGACCAGAGTTTAAGTCAAGCTGAAACAAGAAAACACAAGAGTAGATTTTAATATAAGACCAGCAAAGAGAAAGAGGGTGAGAGAGAGAGATAGAAGGGATCTGATGAATACTGTAAAGATGGTTAGGGAGAATCTAAATTTTACCTTAATCCTCTTCAACTTTTGGTTCCTAAGGTTTTGTTCATGGAATGTTGCTCGGAGACTTGCAATCTCCTGTGGAAAAATATTGGATTTTTAAGAATATAATGCACACGTACGTGAAACCATGATAATAAAACAGAGACAACTAGCAAGGAAAATCTACCTTTTGAAGGTCAAGTCTCTCCTTCAACTTCAAGTTCTCTTCATTTTTAAGCTCGGAAGATGACTGCCAAATATTATAAAAAAAACAAACCCTCAGCTCAATAAAATTCGAATTTTGGATTGTGTACTTGAAATATAAGAAAGAGAGTCTTTATATATATATATACCTTCCTTTTCTTCAATCTCTTGGAGAAAGAACTGGTGATTTCGTTTGTGGGAAAAACCTGCACAATTTGATTAGTAAACTATTAAATGCTGACGATAACGACAACTGTTATACTTTTTATAATCAAAACCCAAAGATCTTATTTTAACATACCAAGTAAAGTTTCTTTTCCCACAAAAGAAATTTCAAACAAAAGTAAAAAAAAAAAAAAAATTCAAAGAAACCAAATAGAGCATAAATCTCAAATATAATTGGAAAGGATTTTTATAGAGAGGATTTGATGCCACATCATGATTATTCCGTGTCATGGGCATTGTCATCTATCGTCATCAGTCTTTTAAGATCACGTGATCCCCAATCTCTCCGACAAGATCATTTTACTCGTTTCAACTTTCAACCCATCCCACTAAACGCTACCGTTTTGGACCTCAAAACGTTCAGCAAAACGCGCACGTTTGACCAACTAGCTGTACTATATCTCCATAATCTAAAGGAGCTTTTATTATTCCTAAAGACAAATTAAAGTTTGACCGGTTCCTAATTACCTACATCTAACCGGCCACGCTAGATCCGGTTCAATGCGTACCGAAGAGATTGGTTAACCTCCAGAGAAAAACCGGTCTCTTATTAAGCTTGTTATGGACGATTAGCAGAGTTTTTTAATTACCAAAAGTGAGAAGAAAAAAAGGAAATTAAGCTTAAAGAGGCTTTGACTTTTTGGAGATAGATGAATTTAACCTAGAACGGCGAAACACGGCGGAGGAATAATTTTCCGGTGGATTCTGTAGTAGTTGAAGAAAACAGACTAAAATACGGTCTAGTGAGAATCGAACGCAGGTATTGAAGTGATCGAGAGATGACGCCAAGCTAAATTTTTGGAATCGTGGATTTTGGGGAAAAAGTGAAGAAAAACAGAGAGACGGCCACGGATCTTCTCAATTACGAACACACGACGGACAGCGAAATCTGGATTTATCCGGCCAGATCGGAATCGGATTATCCAGCGAGATGACGGATTCGCCATCTCTCCGCAGCAACCGGATTCGTAATTGAGAGGAAGAAGATAGAGATAGGGGAGAAGACTAAATCGAGACGCAAAAGTTGAAAATCACGATAGGAAAAGAGAAAGTACCTTAGATCCGGATCCTGTAGATGTAGAGCAGCTAGCTTGGCGACTGGTATCTTCGAATCCATCGGCGGTTACGGCGGAAGGAGATGCAGAGCCGCCGCCACTTCCAGATCCGCCGCTCCAGGAGAGCGGAGTCTTCGGACTGGCTCTAACGGAATCCACATCTTTCTTCAACGAAACGAGAACGCCGCCGCCGCCACCAAATCTTGAGGACCGAGACCGGCGTTGACGGATTCCCCACCGTAGCGGAGGCAGATTCACCGCCGGATTATCCGACACTACCGTTCCGGCATGCTTGAGCCGTAAAAGAAGCTCAACCACCAATTCGTCGTCAGTCATAGCCACCGCCACCCAATCATCCTTGACCGGGATCTTAGACGACGTAACCTTCTTCATCGATGCTTACACTAATCAAATCTGCAGCTCCCGTAGAAAAAGGGAATCAGATACAGAAGAGAAGCTGCGAAAGAGAGAGAGAGAGAGAGAGAGAGAGAGAGAGAGAGAGAGAGAGAGAGAGAGAGAAAGAAAGAGAAGTTACAGAAGAGAGAGAAGGAGGAGGAGTTGAAATATCGAAATAGAGGAGAAAAAGATAGATGGGATGGTGTTATATACGAGGCTCTCTCTAAATTATTCCTCTCTCTTTTTTCTTCCTTTTCTCATTTTTCTTTGTTCTTTTCGAAAAAATAAAATTGATTGTTTTTTTCCATTTTAATGTCGATGCGAAAACGCAAGATCGGGTCTGTGGCTGGATGGATTGCAGATTTGGATTTAATTTTTTTTTTCTCAATGTTTTATGATGACAAAAAAAAATTGTGGGACCCAAAAACTGAGTTGTGTGGGCAAAGGGTATGTGAAAAATATGTAAAGATTCCCCAAATTAAAATTCTTTTGAATGTCGTGAAATTAGGAAAATGCTGCAAAAAAAAGAATAAAATATAAAGTATGCAAAATTACTTTAGGGTTCGTCTTCTTTGTTTTGCTTGTTTCCCTTGTTAGGTAGAAAATCTTCCTGCGGAACAAAAAAAAAAAAAAAAGGTAGAAAATCTTCCTTTCCTCTCATCAATTATGTATTAATATCATTAACTACATTTTTATTAATTGCAAAGGAAACAACAGCAAAAAAAAAAAAAACTGACGTGGCTCAATGGATTTGCTGAGTCTATAAAATTGATTCACCATTTAACACGTCATGCTTCACCAATGAACAACAATTGACAACTTGAAACACCGGTAATAGACAAAGCAAGTTGCTACATTGTAGATGAGTAAAAAGAGTTTCTGTCATCAATGATAATATATCTTGCCTTATGTTTCTTTTATGGGAAAATTTCCAAAAAAAACTCAAAGTAATTTTTATTTGGACGTTTAATGTCCAATTATTTTTGATTGGAATAAAAATACTTCAACTAATTATTCGTGGTCATAAAATACTTTGTATATAAACTATTGGTAGAATCAAACCCGCACGTTAACAGCTGTAAAGGAATTAACTAACGGCGTTAAATATTATTCTCATATAACTTAATCTATATATATAATCTGCTCTTAAAATTTACAAAGATTTTAACGTGGTCCAGTGGAATAGTGCAGCTTACTCAATATGCGCGACCTGGGTTCGATTCAAGTGGAGTCAAAATTTTTTTTTTTTTTTCTCTTCTTCTCCTTTGCCGATCTCTGGTTTTTTTTTTTTTTTACTCTCCTTCCCCGTCGTTGACCACCACCGTCCCAGAAATAATACTTCATCCAACCCATGAATAAGAACCTCCAATTCCTCTTCCAAATCGAGTAACAAATCGGTACACCCACACCATCAACCATCACCCTCGTATCTCCAACCATCATTTCACTCACCAAGCCTTTACAAACCCTAAACCTCTCATCCCTAATCGCAGAGGAGGATAATTAAGAATTCCCAGCCCCGAAATCAACCTCCAATTGTAGCTATTTGAATTTGAATTCCCAATTTTCAGATAGAGGAAGGCGAAGAAGAGAAGAAGAAGAGGGAAGAAAAAAAAAAGGAAGACAAAATTAGCTATGAGGACAACTCGAACCCAAGCTTACCACTTTCCGTTTACCACTAGACCACAACAACTTATTCACATAATCTTGTTAAACGATTGTATATATTAATTAACATATTTGAGTTTGATATTTAACGCCGTTAGTTAATTCCTTTACGTCCGTTAACGGCTGTTAACGTGCAGGTTTGATTCTACTAATAATTTATATACAAAGTATTTTATGACCACGAATAATTAGTTGAGGTATTTTTGTTCCAATCAAAAATAATTGGGCATTAAACGTCCAAATAAAAATTACTTTTGGTTTTTTTTTGGAATTTTCTCAATCTTTTATAGAAAAATCTCTGAATGCAGATTAGTACTAAGAAATTTTTAAGAATTCAACCCCCAGCTGTCCAGCTTTGAATAGAAATACATGGGCCTTAAATCGGGCTAAGGTGGGCTCTGTCTTATTATGAGAGAACATATCTTACAACTTGGACCAACCAAGTGGCATATATGAAATTTCGATAATGAGGAAGATATATCCCTTAACAATAATCACATCCATTGCTATTAAACTCATAATGATGATAATTGAGATCACACAATATCAAGCTATCGAATTATCAACTTAGAGAAAGTCACTTTCAACTTCTGAGTTCAAATTGACATTTAGTGTAGTTAATACGTTGGACTACAGATTATATTGCAAGTTCTTTTTTTGTGTGCGCTATTCCTCGTTGTAAATTAAGTTTGATATTGCAGAAATACATGTACTAGTCACAGATTCAATCATTTTTCAAGGTATTACTCATTGAATCATTTGCATAAGCACATTATTGTTCATTCGTTTCACGTTTTATTGTGTCAATCTTCTTTCATCTCCTTATGTATCAAATGTCCAAATACTGAAGAAAACAGACTTTCAAAGCCAAGATAAAACTTAAATTCGATAGTATTAAAGATAGAGAAGTACAGAGAATTTGTAGTACAAGGATTATATGGAAACCTTAAGCTTCATCTAACCAGTAAATACATCTCTTTACTTTGACTAAACCTAGACGACACGGAAACAAACGAAGAACCTTAAGGAACAACAGATAGAGACCCAAATGAAGAAGAAACCCCAAATAAAACTTAAACTTAAAGATAGAAGAAATACAGAGAATCGCAATACCGAAGACGATTACATCGAAACCTAAACATCATCTTACCAGTAGACACATCTCTATACCTTGTCTTACGACCTACTAATTCACTCAGACACAAACGAAATGACAAAGACACAAAGTACGAAACTAAGATTTACCCAGAGAAGCTGACGATTAAGCAGAATTAAAAACCCAAAGATACAGAGAAAGAAACGAAAACTAGTAAAAGTCTCTATGCACATATACTCCTACACAAACACTAAACCCTAAGAAGAGAAACTAAGACCTGTTAAGAAGATATTTCGATCTTGCCCCTTGAAAAAATAAGGGAAGATTCGAAACGGTTCATAACGAAGATGTGTGTTTCTTCATCTTCTAGATTCATCGTCTGGAGATTATATTTTTCTTGTAGATCTCCGGTTTTATGCGGATTCTGACGATCGGGAAATGGAATTGTAACACTTGAGTAACAAGTTGGATCACCGGAGATTTTTAAAATCTAAAATGATCGGCGACAGACACCGTCAGGCGATGTCTAGGCGAAGGATCCTGATGAGATCGTTGGTTGCCTTCTTCGTGAAAAAGGCAGGAAGCGGTACATCGCTCGGAGGCGGTGATGTCATGGTCACAGGACCGGCGTAAAACGGTGCTGATTTCGATTTGTGGCCAGATAAACGGATCTGACTCGGAATCAAACCCGGATCTGGTCCAATCCGACGAGTAGATCCCAGATCTGACATTTCAACAGCCAGATCTGAAGCCTCCTTGGGGATTTCTTCGCCGCGCTTCAGGATTCTCACCTGGCTAACGACTACGGTGTTGCTAGGACTCTTCTTAACGGTTCTTTTTGGAACGAAAGCAGAGACGGCCGCACGAGGAGGAGGAAGCGGCGGTGCTACAGGAGGAGGAGAAGGAGAAGATCTGGTGGATTGATTGCGAGGAGGACTCCGACGTGTACGGTTGTTGGAAACCGGCTTCTTCTGCTTGTTGGGGCATGCGCTAGGATTGCGATGGTGTTTCATGTGAGAGAAAGGATCTTTCAAGCAATCTTGAGGATTTAGAACGGCGACGCCCATGGCTAATTGAGAAAGGCAGATTTGGTTGGAGGAAGAAGATGAGAAGAAATTTGTTAAATTATTGTCTCAAGAAAGGCTCGAAAATGGAAAGAGATAAATTAGGAAGAAGGAAAATGAATAAATGAGGAAATGGAAGGAGGCTACTTTTATACACGATTTATTTGCTTCAGCGTGCCCAGAACCAGCCTATAGACGGTTTCTTAACCAACTCTCGGCTTCTTCTTTGTGAACTACACGCGCTTTGTTGTTTTCTTCCTTTTTTGTTTTTTTCTTTTGCTTTATTTTTCCTTTTAACTTTATATTTACTTTCCTTGATATGTTAATCAATGGATCAATACTATAGTTGTGTAATAAGATATATGGCATTCTTTTCTTTTTTATCCTCATCATATATGTATTTTATCATTTAATAATAGAACTTTACTTTTTTGATTTATTATTATTTACAATATACCAATACTACGCCAATAATGATTCAAAAAAATAAAAGTAGAAAATAAGTGATATTCTTTTATATGTGATTTATGATTATTGATTACAATTTCAAAGATTAATTGTCAAAATATAAGGCCAAAGATTAAAATTTAAACCTAATATCTATAAGGTTGAAAAATATGCAAATATATGAAAATTTGAAAGCATTAGATTGCTTTTTAAACAAATAATTTGAAGATGACATATGGTTATCCCAAAGTCTACTTCTTAGTTCTGACACTGAGGATTACTTCAATATTTTGAAATCAATAGTAAATTATTGCCAGGAATAAGAAATGGTATGTCACCCACTACACAAATATGAAGTCGCATCAAAGGTTATTGTGCAAATTGAAAGTGTTTGTAAATGTTGACAACAAAATGATTTCACATTAAATAATTTAGCCAAGTTGTCAATAATAATACGAAACAATTGAATTAAAAAAGCTACTTTGCCGAACAGTATCCAAGCAAAAAATCCTCCATTAGGCGCATTTGTCGCTTTCATGATCACACGTTAAACATTAAATAATACTCAATTGGGCGTAATATATCTCATCCTTTGAGTAACCTTTACATTATTCTCATACATTGTACCTCCATAACTAATAGTATGATATTGAAACGCAAAAATAAACTTTGTATTTATGTATATAGAGAGCTAAGCTGATATCAGATTAAGCAAGAGGTAGAAGACTCTTAAACATTGAGAAACCGATAAAACATATGGTAAAGAGAAACAAAAGAAACCCAAAGATCCTAACGATGATATGTCTATAAACATATTGATTGATACGTCATTGCAAATATGTAACAGGTTCATATAATCCAAATCATATAGGAAAAAGATAATCTTAAGGTGGAGTAAGAATATTTGTGTTGGGGAATAGGTAAATGACAACAACTTTTGAAAGAAGTGGTCGACCACAATAATAATTATTTTAGTTTATTTTTTTAATTAGGTGTAATAATGAATGTGAAAGAGGCGCGTGAGAAAGAAGTGGTTTCTAGGGTTATCAAAGGAGAGAGGAGGAACCCACGACGACCCTTACCAAAACCTCAGCTACGCGTTTCTGGGTCCCACTCTCTCTCTCATCTTCTTCTCCCTTCCATTATTACGGTATCCTTTACAAACAAACCCTTCGTATTCCTAACTATTTACTCTATTGCCACGCCACTCGTCTATCTTCTTTGACCACGAATATTTCTCAAGCTTGTTTTACTCTTTTATCTTCTGAGATTTTTGTTTTCTTCTTTCTTTTCAACCAATATTAAAGAGATTACTAATAATACGAATTAGTGTGTCATTAAAATATTAAATAGATGCTTTGATGCCCTCGTTGCATATCTTTTCAAATTTCACTACTGAAAAGTACATTATATTCGTATAACTAGTGTAAATATATAATGTTTTGGGTTACTATTTCTTGATTTTATTTTGTAAAATTGTGAATCTAAGAAGGGCATTTCTGTTGGTTTTCTTGTATTCATAAATTGAAACCAATAAGGAAATTGGGACAAAAAAACGCCTAGTTTGGTTTTGGGAAGAGGTGGGGGCATTAGGTAATAAAAATCATAAATTGAGAACAAATAAGGCAGAGTCCACGTGTTTGAGGACAAAATAATCAATCATAAAAAGACACGTGTAATTTGACGATAGGAATGGCGTGATATTGCTATGTTAGGGAATCAGTCAATCGAGCCGACTCAATCAACTTTGGCCGGCCAAAAAAACAATTTGGAAAGTATTGATGCTCTTATTTTTTTTTTTGACGTCTAAATTTATTATTTATTGCAAATTATGATAACTATTACATAGACGATTCTACAACGGACAATTCCTTCCGACTCTTATTAGATCTATGACCTGACGACACTTCTCTCTCGGCGTAGAATCCTGGCGAACGGCTATAATTGTACTTCGCTGGAGATCTCCTGTACACTTGCCTTATTTAATCTGCAAATTTATTAATAAATCGCAATATCTGGGACTCGAACCCCAGACCTCTTGGTGTAGAAGCATTAATTAACCCTTGGTCAACCAATGGACCAAGGGGCTTCTATGCTCTTATTTAGTAATTATTTACTTCGTTTGGGGTCTATTCCTGATTTTTTTTAAGATGGGGGGTTGGTGAGAAGCCCACAAAGAAATCAGAATTCAGACCCGAACAAAACTAAGTTGACCTCAGGTCCTAACTGCTTTGATAAGTTATCAAAAAACATGCTTCTTCATCTAAATTCGTATAATTTTCTGACTCAAATTCTGATGGAAAACTACTACTGTATTACTTAGAACTAGAGACAAATTGCAACGCAAATTCTGGATATATAAATGATTGTATAATTTTAGGACTTAGTTGAGGGATAAATATGTTAGCTCTATTTTTAGGAGTCAGTTGAGTGATAAGTGATAACTCTTATTATAACAGTTACATGCTCAACACTTTTTAACATCGACCAAGTCATAGCCGATTTATTTGCTTCCATGTAACTGATAGTTGTCTTTAACACCTTCGCCATAAGCTTATCACCAAAATCAAATAATAGGATCTCGCCTAACTAATTTACCCTAATTTAAGTAAATCATAAATTGCATAAACAACCTTCATAATATTTGTCTAAATATGAATTTGAAGCATGATCCGGGCAGTGATAAGCTCCACCTCCAGAATCGATTCTCTTCTTGGAAGCTTCATCTATTTTCATATTTGGGTAAATATCACGTTAGTTTTCCTATGTATAATCAAAAACCTCATCAAATCTCTCTCTCTCTCTCTCTCTCTCTCAAGCCTCACCACCACACACCAAACCAAACCAAAAAAAAAAAAAAAAGGAAACTACAAATTCCTCATTTCTTTGGTCGACAATTGGCAGAATGGTCGTAACCACTCCACCAATTTGGGACGAAACCGAAGAAGTTTTTGTATAAATAAAGAAACACATACCACTAACGAATACTCACGGAGGATTCCAAAGCTGTTTAGTTCACAGGATCATGAGCTCCATTTGTTGTGTCTTTCTCTTTCTCATGTTCTTGTGCGGCTGAGGATGAACCGTGCTCCGTGCTTACCATATCACTGCTTTGCTGTTCTCCTGCCGTATTGGAAATAGCCTTTTGTTTCAGATATGCTTCCAGAGGAAAAGCTGCAGCTTGGAGAAGCCTCATCATGCTTACTCGGGAAGCCCCCGGATCTGAGTTCAAGTCGATGTTTTCCCCTGCGGCTGGTTCAATCGCTGGAATGCTCTCCACTTCTGTCTCGTCCCTGCACTCTGACTGTGACTGCGCCTGCTGGCTTGCCTGTCCCGCCTCTCCCCTGTTCCGCTTCCGCAGCATGAGCGTTCTGAATCTTCTCTTCACTGCCTCGCACACAGTACAAGTGCATGACGGCTTGTGTTTGCCTTTTCCGCTCGGTGGTTGGCTGCAGACGATGCACGAACACCCTGCCCGGTGTCTTGGGTGCTTGGTCGTGGCTGCCACCGTGATTTCCTCCTGTTCACCGGTAGTGGTGATGCCTCCATTTCCTAAAGTATCCAGAGCAGATGCCTCCTGCGACTGGTTTAGCTTTTCGTTTGATGATGCCAGTCTCCTCCTTTTGAACTCTGTTGAGACGAAACTTTAGTTTCTATGTAAAGAAGTTTCTAATTATACAGACCAATAATAGCTGCGGATCATACCTTTGCTCTGCCGGACAAGTGTATCCTGTTCTCTAGGAGAGAGCTCATCAGGTGCGGAACATGAAGACCTGACGATACAAACAGCAACTCAAATTATTCAGATGGCCAGTCTCAGTGGTCAAAAATCTATAATTATCCCATGTGTAGTCGAAATAGATTGTATCAGTTATTTCTAAAGAAAAATGTGCAATGTTCTGTGGTAACTAGTCTAGGTTAAGCACATGAACATGCAACCTCGTGTACCTGCCAGGATCCAAGAGATTATCAGAGCACGACCACTTTGGTGGAAGAAGAATATCCACAGGCAGCCGTCGCCATTTCCCACAAGCATCACACTGCACCCATTGCTCTTGTTCCCTGAGAATTCAAGGATCACATATCAGAACCAAAATAATCAGATGTTCATTAGTTCAAATCTTTTGATCATTCCAAGTGTGGTTAATTCTTCTGATCTTATCATTACATAGTACATGAGGCCTCACCCTGTTTGACGTGACACAAAAAGGGTCCTCTTCCCGAAAACTGGTGGTTCCTGGGTAGCAGCAAATACATGATTTCAGAAAATACAGTGAAAAGATCCCAGTTGTTTTTGATAACTAAACAGGTAAACAGCAACTCACGTCATATTCTTCAAAATCCTGATTTTCCAGAGTAAAGATGCTGGGTTTGGCGGATTGGGGCGGCCGCAACAGTTCCTGTGCCTCCTCCCAAGTTATTTTCAGTTCCAGAACATCTACGCTATCAATGAGCAGACGCTTGCTCTTAGTCCCAATGTTCCGAACCCGTTTCCTAGCAGAAGTTAGGGACGACTGAAGAAATAAGTTATCCTTTGCCATGTCCTCAGACTTCTCTAGTTTAGACCAATTGATGTCACCACATCCCGGATTCAAGCTGTTGGAAAACATGTTTAGATTGGGTTCACTGCTTCCCTTGAACATCTGAAGAACCACAGAAAAATATTTCACTGAAAG